GCAGTTTTTCTTTCTGATCTCTCCTGGAGTGGCCCGAGACCTGACATCTTGTCTGTTCCTGCAGGTTCACCCTTCCAGTTAAGTATTTGGTATCACTACTGACAGGTAGGTCCCTTTCTTGCACAATTTTTCATGTGTAAGGCAACCTACCTTTTCTTTTACTAAAACTAAGTTGTATTCATTAATATGTTCATGTGAAGCTTAAACTAATGAACCAAATTCAAAGTGGAACACCGAGTCACCTTTTTACCTGCGATCCTTTGACACACGTCTGAGAGTCCCAAACCATTCCCCCTTCCATGCTCACCGACAGGCCAGTGCCTACCTAGATCCATCCAGGGACCTCAAAGTTAAGTCTGGAGACTAAACTCTCTCCTCTCTTCTCCATCTGCTCTACATAGCTGTTCTTCCAGGTTCCAGAGCAAACAAGTGTCTCTCATACACTGTTGCCACTCAAGCAGAGCTGTCCCAAATGGGCAGGGTAGGGAGGAAAAGGACTTCCCCAGGAGAGTTCCTGTTTGTGTTAAAGGTGCAGCAGTGCTGTTTTGTTAGAACAGGCAATCAGGAGTCTCAATTCACTGGCACTGAGAATTAATCTGCTTAACAAGGCTTTAAACAAGACTGTACCTTCCTGCCCAAACAATACTGTTCCAGCTTCTTGGCTTGACCTTTGGCCTCAAGGCATCCATCGTTCCTAACTGATTTTCCTGGACACTTACTTTGAGTCTTACACATTTGTCTTGTCAAAATGACTAAACTTTAGCTCCTTGTCCACATGTGTCTTTATTTTCCCTCCTTCTCCTTCTAAATACACATCACTCACTTGCCCTTTGAGGTTTAAGTGCTATCTGCAGTAGGTGCTCCGGGATGACCACAGCCAGAGTGCTCCTTCCTCCACTGGACACCTCACAACCTGTACATATTGGCCTATGGATTTCCTTACTAAATTCAAAGATCATATTCGTCAACCTTCCAAACTCCATAATTTTAATAACCCATAGAAAGTACACATTCTTGGTTAAATTATTCTAAGCCTTGATATTGCACTAACAGGACTTGAGTATGTTTTTAAAAGCTCTTTGAATAATTTGTTTTCGGGTATCATGACACAAGTGCGTGAATTCTTTAGAGATCATGCCAATGTAAATTAGTGTTTCACACACATACCTAAGCAATGACAACAGCTGACTTCTCCTTAACTTACCACAGTGGTTTTCAACCTGTGGGTCTCAACCTATTGACCCTTTCATGGGCTAGCCTAAGACTATCAGAAATATAAGATATTTTACATTTTAATTCTTTGACAGTAGCAAGATAACAGTTATGAAGCAGCGATGAAAATTTTATGGTTGGGGGATCACCACAACATGAGGAGCTGCATTAAAGGGTCACAGCATGAGGAAGGTTAAGAACCACTGACTTAAGTAAGATGTGAAGTTTGCCCCCTGAAGAAGCAGCACTTCTAGTTTCTAGGATCTGAATTTCCAAAGGGAGGGGCTTACATCACAGGACAACCTAAGTATCTTTCTATGTTTATTTGGGAACACATAGGCCCTTCAGGCTAAATGAGACCATAAAGATCACTTTTTACTCTGGAAAAATTCACAGAAGATACAAGACCAAGGTAAGAAAGTAAGCCTAAGTCTTTCAACCAAAAATCCTGATAACAAAAACTCCATTCGAGGTTGTAAGTAATATCCTCCAAAAGCACGGCAACAGAGCCCACCAATTACAGGTATTCATTTACTCCTTTGCACATCAGAGTTTGGGCATCACAGATTAACCAAAATCAGCATTAAAGTTTAACTCTGTAGTATCTTTTTTAAAGGAGGTTGCCAAATGGGATTTGTTCTATGTAGTTGACTTCCATAGCTTGTGAACGTACATCTTGACACACAGAATTTGAGCTCATAGTTTTGTGATGTGACGTTTTGCCTGTGAAGTTGCTCAAAATAAAAGTCTAATAAAAAGGACTTGACATCCTCTAGTGGTGAAACACATTTGTTTCAAAGGCAATTGCATTTTCTAGTTCTTGTTTCCCTTTGGCTATGGACAAAAAAACAGACAAACAAACAAAAAACTACAGTATACCAAGAGAACTGTTTGTCCTCAAGAAAAAAATGATTTAAAAAAAAAAGAATATAATCAACCCTTGAGCAGAAGCTAAACACATCTGCAGAACTGTTTTCTGAATGTTACACTGATATAGTACCCTTTAAATACATACTATGATGCTGAATTCACTCTATTTGAGTCATAGACATACAAACACATAGGCCTTTAATCTTGGACATATCACAGGTATTGTTTTTGTAATAACCCAAGATTTTAATCTGAAGTCCTGAAATATAGTCTTTGCACAAGGACGTAATTTAGGAACCACTCAAGGTTGGACTCTACCTCAAAGTAATTATATGGAAAAGGAAAACAGAAGGAATGCTTCAGGAAACGTGCTGCTGTCTGTGGTGAGAAAGCGGACACACAGGTAATCTGGGACTTGGGAAGGTGAGGCGAGGCAGGAGGAGGCTAAAATCGAGACAAGCCAGCAACGCATGGCATGACTCCCACCTCAAACAAAAAAGACAAAAAGAGAAAAAAAGGAATGTGGCATTTTGAGGTGGTAACTCTAACTTCTTGGTGGCAATAAGACATAGGCTTAGGTACCCCTCTCATTCAATACATAAAATCCCATATAAATCTATGATTTAAAAATAATAAATTGGAGTGTTTGAATGTGTATAATGTGAAATGTGAGTATAAAACTGAAGTTCTACATTCAAAGGTCATAGGTTTTACATATACAGAACATTAGTTGTCAACATTTAAACAACCTTGTGTTCTCTCAAAATAGGGTCACCTGGATTTTAAACAATACATTTACAGGTCAGTGAGATGGCTCAGCAGGTAAAGAAGCTTGCTGTCAGTCTCTAGAACCTACTCGGTGTAAAGAGAGGCAATTCCCACAGGTTGTTCTCTGGCTCCCACACTTGTGCTATGGAATGTGTGTGTCCACATACAAATGCACATACCAAATAAATGTAATTAAAATATGCTAAGAGCCAGGTATAATGGCTTACACCTGTATTCCCAGTAGAAGTAGAAGGATTTTGAGTTTGAGGCAAGTCTGTGATATATCAAGTTAAAGCCTAGTATGTACCTAAAGATGGAGATGGTCTCAAAAAACCAAACTAAACCAAAAATACCCCTTACATTTCCTTTCTTTAGCATTCACTGGCACAGGTGTTGCTGAATACTCAAAGCAAAAAATAGAAAAATGGGGGAGGGGGAATACAGGACCAGAAATATATGATATACACACACACCCCTACGTATATGTGTGTTGGTCATATATAAAACATGTTTATCGGAAGTTTAAATTTCTAGGCAAAGATGTGGAGGAATTGTTTACTGTCAGGAAATAATAGCCAATAAATCCTACTTTTAATGGAAAGAGTACTTCAGGCTGGTGAGACGTTTAGGTAAAGGCACTTGCTGCCAAACCTAAGTTTCAGTCTCAGAACCCCACTCTTAACAAGTTACCTTGATCTCCTACAGGCATGCTATTGCATGAACACCCCCTCACTCAGACTCACACTCATACACACACATACACACACACACCAAAGTAAATAAATACAAAATTTAAGAAGACTTAAGAACACATGATTGACTTTGCATCCTAACTGTTAAGACACATGGCTCGATCATTCCTTAACACGATCAGGCACGGGATGCACTCCAGGTGCAAGTTCGTTTATGTCTGAACAAGTACCAATGCAGATCTACAAAGCACTCAAGGACAAATGGATGCCTATTAAATCACTAACATCCCCTCCTCCCCCCAAGCTGTTACTTATCCGTGCCTTATTCACAGTCACAACTAAGAATGACCCGGATTGGGGAGCATGGACAACTCCCAGCTCATCAAGTTTCCTAAACAATTACTCAGGCATCGCTTCGCCACCCTGACCAAAGTAATAATCACTGATCTTTCAAACGCAGAAGACAAAAATCGACCACCTTTCAGGATGTAGCCTGACATGGAAGTAAATTCAGGACACTGTGTCAATCTTAACCTTAGGTGTAAATCATTAAGAGTTTAGGCATAATCGCAGATACCAATTGGAAAACACTAAGCTCCATAGACCTTGTGTATTAAAAATAAGCACGCCCTCTAAACGAGTGTGTTGTGGTGGGGGTGGGAGGTGGAGCGAGTTTTGCATTTAGAAAACAATCACTTCTGGTTGTGGGTGTTTAGAAGCAGTAACAGCTTGCAACTGCGGGGTCTGCAACTTAACATTTCTTTAAAATTACAAAGCGCCTCCCGCCCCCACGCCAAGTGTAGGAAGGTACGAGGAGCTGCTTACTTGGCCAGGATTAGAACAGGGAGGGAGGGTATGATTTGCAACACAGTCCCCGAAGACGAAGAACAAAATCATGAGGGGCGGGGGAAGTTGGTTTCACGGTAAGGAGAGACGGGTACGAGTGGGAAGACCTTCCGAGGGTGTGAGCTATGTCCCTGGGTGTCCCCGGTGGCTGTGCTGGAGGCGGATTGTCAACACGGAGCCTGAGGGCCGAGCCCGGCGGCAGAGGCGACGCTCCATCTCTGGCTTTAGTGCCACAGGAAGAGTTGAGCTCCGAGACCGTGCTCGGTGCTCTGGGTGAAGGTCGGGTGGCGAGGTCCTGAGCCGGTCAGCCGCTCACCCACCGGCCGGACGCCTCTGCTCCGACCCCGCTCCCCCGGCCCCTCTGCGCGGTCCCGCCGCTCGGCCGCTCTGAGGCTCGGAGCGGTTCCCCGACCTCCCAGGCGCGCCCCCGACCACTCCGCGCGCCCCCGACCTCCCTCCCGCGCGCCCAGGCCTGCTTCCACCTGTTGTGGCCCCGCGGGCGCTCGGCGGTCGCCGGTAGCGCGGACTCCGAGGGTCGCTGGCTCCCGGGACCGCGCCCCCGCCCACTCCCGCGACCCCCGCGACCCCCTCTCGACTCGACCGCGCCGTCACCTGGGTCGCTCTGCGTAGCGCCGTCGCCGCCCCTGTGGCCGTCGCCGCCAGCTCCCTGCTCCGCCATGGTGCTCCGATGACGCGCCCCGAGAGCCGCTCCGCCCTCTCCCTCGGCTCCGCTCTCGCCGGGCCCCCGCCCCCCGGGCTCAGACAGGTGAGCGGCGGCCTGCGCGGGCGTGGGGCGGGGACGGCGACTGCTGGCCCGACGCCGCCGGGGCTCGGCGCGCTCCCTGGCGGGCAGGTGCGGCGTCGCAGCCGCCCCGACGGACGCGGTCGGAGCTAGTGTCCCAGGCGGCGAATCCTAGTCACCGCCGCGTCCGAGCGAGCGAGAAGAGCGTCCACCCGCAGCCCCGGTGCGGCGGGGGCGTTCGAGCGCTCTGTTCCCCTTTGAACTCTGAAGCCGCCAGGTCAGTTTCGGCTCCGTGCGGACGGGAGTTCGTGGCGACAGTCGCCCAAGGAGCCGATGCCACGTGGAGAGCTGAATCACACCGGCTGGGTTCCGCGCCTGTATCCCGGCTCGCTTTCGCCCGTGAGCCTAGCTTTTCCGTGTCTGATGGCCCAGCACGCACCTTAGGGAATCCTGCGCCGACTGGCGTGGCGTTTCTTATTCTTGGTTTCCGATTAGTAAACTGTCTTGTGACTATCTTGTTTAGAAGGACCAGAGGCGTGGGGAAGGCGGTTGTAAAAAGAAACATTAGCAACTGAGAAACAAATTTCTGTCTGAGCAGGCAAAATAAACGATAAGCAACAAAATACTGAGGGGGTGGTTAAGTAACCTGCAGGAATGAAAACAGAACAGAGCAGCCTACCAATCCTGCCTGCTCACACAGAGAGGCACGTGCCCACCCTCGGTTAGCTGAACAAATCTAACGAGCTCTTTATATTTTGAAACCCCACATAATGTACTAGGGACAGAAAAGAGTGTCAGAATACAATCCTTATTTACAAGAGCTGTCACTCCAAGCCCTGGATTTCATTTACAGGTTTTCTGGTTTGCCATGGATTCTCCCAAAAGCACCATGCCTACAGTGGAAGAGGCAAACAGATCTTTGAACAGTGAGATAGTCTGTAGCTGGCAAAGATCACGCCCCTGCTAGTGCACAAGGTAGATCATAAATCACCTGCTGTGAAGCAGCCTCTTATCCCACACCTGGAATTTAAAAAAAAAAACACATACTAACATAACTCAGTTTTTAAAGAAACCAAAATTCTCACTACACCATCCCACTTTACTCTCTGAGGCAGGAGGATCATCAGGAGTTACGAGGCCAGCCTAGGCTAAATAGTGAGACCTGTCTCAATCAATCAATCAATCAATCAATCAATCAATCAATCAAAAAAAAGTCATTGGCAAGTGCTTGGTAGTAGTTGATTCGGTGTGTGCTTGCCCTCCAGTTGTTTCGATTACTTGTGTTTCAGTTGTTCCAAGTTAAATACATGGAGGAGGACACCCATCCTCACTTAAGGACTTGGACAGACTCCTTGTTCCAAACCTAATTTGCAGTGTCTGCCACACAGTAGATGGGAGTGGATGACATCTGTTAAATGTCAGATGCCACCATTCTATCCTTTAGATGTACTTTTTACTAGGAACATAGAAGCCATCTGCCTCGAGTTCACACAAAGTTCTCCTGATCCCCCACCTCCTCTTCCCGGGGTAGAGCTGAACCTCTGGCACCGTGTTCCCTTCTGCCTCCTTCTCCCCTATCCCCTGGATGCCTCTTCATCCCAGGCCATTTGACAACGTACAGTTTTTCTTGCTCATCCATAGTAGCTTCCCAAGTCACATATCAAGTTGCTGAGTGCTTTTCTATCATTTGTTCCCCAGATGTCTTCTGCCTCCACCTCGATTGCTGGGATGATGGAGGACAGTACCACCCTCGGGTCCCCTCAATTGCTGGGGTGATGGGGGACAGTAGCACCCTCAGGTCCCTTCGATATTTTGTGGGCTGGATCCTGCATTACTTGGCACTGGCTCAATCCCTTGCTAATGAGGTTTCACTCTTTCCCCAAACTCCTTCCTGTTTCTCCCAAGATCTTCAAACTCTCCAGAGTTTCAGCCACACCTTTCCTATCTCTGCTCTGTCTCTTGGGACCCTCCACCTTGGTGACTCTCAAGTCTAGAATGTATACTCCTGACCTCAGTACCAACCTCCTCCAATACATTCTTTAGTCTGTGTGTGTGTGTGTGTGTGTGTGTAGGTGTGCATGTATCGAAGTATGGAGATCAGAAGCCAACCTGAAGGTTGACCTCAAGGACGGTGTCAACCTTTGTTTTTGAGACAGGGCCTCTCATTTCGTCCAGAGCTTGCTTCTATGATGGGTGGCCAGCAAGCCCCCAGGGATCTGTCTGTCTCTACTTCCCCAGTGCTGAGATTACAACCATGCACACCACCATGCCTGGCTTTTGGCTTTGTTTTTGTTTGTCTTTCTGGGAGTTGAACTCAGGCCCTCAGCTTACAAGGCACTTTACTGGCTGAAGTTCCTTCAATATTCTTTGTACAGTCCTATCATGACACTCTGCTCTGAATTCAGTGAATCTAGAACACCCTGGCTGAGTTTCTACCGTTGAATCTTTCTCACCCACCCGGGCTCAGCATTTCTCCCAGCCTCCCCCTCGTTATCACTGCCCATAGTTTCCATTCCTGAAGCCCTAACTTCCTGTTAGCCTGACTCATGCTGGACCCTCTTTCAGATCTGAGACAGGCTCGGAACTGCCCTGTTCAGTTCAACTCCTCTTACACTGTGTCGGTTATTAATCATCTAACACACAGCCACTTTACATAGCTCTATCTGGCTCAAAACCTTTTTAATAGGTTTCCTATTTCCATATAATGTGAAGTTAACCTTACTCCCTCCCCATCCCCACTCTCTGAGAGGTCCTTGGACTCCTCCCCTTCCAACTTTTGCCACAATCATTTGCCCAATGGATTTTACTCTTTCCTTAAATGTTTCAGATCCCCCTTCTGGCCTTTTGTCTGCCCATGTAATACCCTGGTCCTTAGTATCACCCCTGAAAAGCCCAGGTTAAGATCCTTCTATGTGAAGTATGTCCGCCTGTCCTGGCTCAGCGGACTTACCCTCTGAACTTCTGGGTTTAACACTTGCCCAACCTGTGACATTTGGGAAGATTTATTGCAAATCTGGGTCTTCAATCTGATGCACATTTTTGATTGTCTTCTCCTTGTCTCTAGGGAGTTTCCATAAAACCTGGAACTATGAATGCTTTGTTCTCAGATTGAAATGTCCTTGCTGCCACCATGTGCACTGCCTACACTTCATGGGCATCTTTATTTCCCTTCTAGGGTACTACAGCATCTCAGTCATCAGAGCCTTTTAAATTGGGTTCTAGTATATCCATTCTCTCTCTCTTACAATAGAGCCACCACCATCCCTTTCTAAACTATCTTCCCAGGCTCCACTCAGCCTTGGAAAACTTTTCTTGATCCCTTTCTGGCCTTGGTATCCATAGCCCTTCCTACACTCACCTGAGTGCTAAGAACTACCTCTTACTCATATACCAAAGCATGTCCACTCCAGTATGTATTTACCATGTTGTGTGTATGGTGTGTATAGAATTCAGCTTGCACACTCGTGGAGGCCAGAGGACAACTGTGGAACCACTTCTGTCTTTCCATTCTCACGTGAGTTCTAGGGATTGAAAGATCATCACAGTTTGCATGACAAACACCTCTACCCCAGTCATCCATCTCATTCGCTCACAGATGGTATTTAGTAAACGCTCCTGAGTGAGTCTTACTGTATGCTGAGTATTCACTGAGCACCTTGCCTGTGCCAGCCTCCTTTAATTCCTAGAACAACCCTTTGAGGAAGGTGCACCATTTCCCCATTTCACAGAGGAAGAAACTGAGACAGAGAAGCTAATTAATTTGCCAAAGGCCAAAGTTAGGTGAGAGCTTCCCTGTGGGCTAACAAGTGGTTTCAGTCTCCACACTTAGCAGTGGGCTAGCCACCTCGCTCCTCCTTATGTGAGGGGCCATTTCCCATTTTGCTTTCCACTGGACCCAGAAATGAGGTGTGATTTGATCATGTTAAATCACTGATGGGGAATTTAAAAGACATGTTTGGTGCTTTTTTAATTTAAATTATGCGTATGCATGTATGTCTCTGTGTGGGTATGGGAATGTGAGTTTGGGTACCCGTGGAGGCTGAAGGCAGATTCCCCTGGAGCTGGAGTTAATGGCAGCTATAAGCTGCCTGTTGTAGGAATCTGGGAACCAAACTTGGATCCTCTGGAAAAGCAGGAAACAATCGTAACCACTGAGCCATTTCTCCTCTCCCAAGGTGCCTGGTCCTTAAGGTGGTAGGCCTTTTTGTTGTTGTGTATAGTATTGCTGGATTGAACCTACAGCCTCACACTGGACTAAGCAAGTGTTCTGCGATATTAAGTATCTAGGTCATCTGAACATGAATCTAGGTTGTGAAGCCCTGACATGCTGATGCTAAAGGCCTTCCTAGCACAAACCTTTCATGAACCGTAATCCACAGTGGGACGACCTTCTTTTGTGTGAGAGATACAGGATGACCTGGGAACATAGTGTATGTTATACAAGCTCAGAGACAAGGAGAGAGAAGCAGAGTGGGGAGGGAGACAGAGAAACAGTGACAGGCAGACACTGGACCTGGGGGAGACTGAAGGAAAAAAGATATGAAGAGTCCATTAAAAATGGGTAGCTTGAACCAGGCAGTGGTGGCGCACACCTTTAATCCCAGCACTTGGGAGGCAGAGGCAGGTGGATTTCTGAGTTTGAGGCCAGAAACAGAGTGAGTTCCAGGACAAGCAGGGCTATACAGAGAAACCCTGTCTCAAACAAAACAACAACAACAAAAAAAAAAATAAAAAAAAAAAATGGGTAGCTTGTTCCTATGTACATACAATATAAAAGAAGCACCTAAAACATTAGAATTAATGAGACAACCTGTTTCTTAATGCAGAGGAGACTGGCTTTCTTCAGAATTTCTGCAAAGGGTTCAAGACACTAATGATCTGCCCTTAGAGGTGAGGTGTTTTAAAGATCAATCCTGTTGTTGTCAAGTGAGAAAATTTTCAAGAGAATATTTTATATACTCAGATGCAATACACACACATACACACACACACACACACACACACACACACGCTTTTATTTTCACATAGAAATAAAGGCCATTGAGCTAGAGAGATGGCTCAGTGGTTAAGAGCATCGACTGCTCTTCCAGAGGTCCTGAGTTCAATTCCCAGCAACCACATGGTTGCTCACAACCATCTGTAATGGGATCTGATGACCTCTTCTGGTGTGTCTGAAGACAGCAATTGTGGATTCATATGCATAAAATAAATAGATCTTTAAAAAAAATAAAGGCCATGTCTATTTTATAGGAGACTTTTCTATGGGTCAAATGAAGACATGGGAACACCTCTCCCTTGTTTCCACCCTATGTAATGCACATTCCTGTGTGGATAGGAAATTAATTTTATTTATCCACCTAGGAGCTTCAGACCTCATCCTGGTTACATTGGAAGGCTCATAAAAATATAATATTTGGCTGGAAAATTTTCCCCAGATGTGAGAACCACATTAAAGTGACAGAGAAGACAATGGCGTCCATTAAGATCCTCTTGCAAACCGCCTGAGATACAGTATGGTGTCTTTCTCTTTCAAGGTAAGTTGAGGTCATGGGGAAAATACATTGAGTTTAAAATAGTCACCACTCTCTTGTGTCCCCCCACCCCCGCTGTCCCCAAGGAACAATCTGGATTCCAACTGTCTTTTCACTGCTTGAACAGAGACACATTGTATTTGATGTCACAGATGAAAACAAAAAACAACAGCAACAAAAAATCTAACCCAGTCATTTAGAGCATCAGCACAAAATAAGAATCTTCTGGACTTTGTCAAAGTAGCATACCGGCAATCTTTTTACTTTTATGTAAATATGATACAATGGATAGCTTTAGAACAAGCTAACATCACTATGATCCAGCATGCACAACTGGTACCATTCAGTAGTACACAAACCCTCCAACAAACACACCCTCGGCCAGAAACTTAAGTTACAAAATACAGTCAATATGACAATTAGTACAGAGTAGAAACCATTACTCTCAGATTCTGCACACTTTAAAAAAAAACAAATTTGTACAACAATTGAAATTATGCATTTCTGCTCAGATGCTTGGGCATACTACACACACAGAACCTAAAAAGCCATGGTCACATTTTGGTTTTGTTCCAGTGGTATACAGTCTCACAAAACTTTCTGTCTCTTCTGTGGTAAACACTGAGTTGAAACGCAATCGCTGGTGACTTCAAAAACCTCTCCATCAAAATGTGTAGATGAAAAATGATCCCGATGTTACAGCTCTCGGATTATTCTGAAAGCCTGTACGAAGAGTCCGTAGGAATCTTGTAGAAATGGAAGTTAGGAAAGTTTAGTGCGTTTTCTTTCCTTCTTTCTTTCTTTCTTTCTTTCTTTCTTTCTCTCTCTCTCTCTCTCTCTCTCTCTCTCTCTCTCTCTCTCTCTCTGTCTCTCTGTCTCTCTCTCTCTCTCTGACACGAGTAAACAAATACTGGATTTAAAGTGCAGCGTCTTCTCTCCTCCTTTCGACTCCCCTCCTACAAGGGGAGCAGTTCTGAATGTTCAGAATCTCCAATCAAGGTCACCCTGGTGGCAGTCAGGCACATTTGTTCCGAAAGTCAATGATGGCCTTCCACAGCGTGCACAGCATCCCTCCCCTGTTGAAAGACAGAACAAGCTGAAGAACACTCTCACTCGGAAATGCCCTTGAGACAGAAGAGGGACTTCTTAGCATTCAGCTCCTTCGGTGAGAACGTGAAGACCTCAGGCTTATCAGGCTTTATGCATTCCGTGTGCATAGTGTTTTCCCACCACCCCTCATTCCTTTCAAATCAAAAACATCATTTTACATTTTGAGCAATTTTGAATTGTGATGTATGTATGTATGTATGTATGTATGTATGTATGTATGTATGTATGTTTTTTTGTTTTTCAAGACAGGATTTTTCTGTGTAACTCTGGCTGTCGTAGAACTTGCTCTGTAGACCAGGCTGGCCTCTAACTCACAGAGATTTGCCTGCCTCTGCCTCCCAAGTGTTGGGATTAACAGCATGTGCCACCACCACCCAGCAAATGTGTCTTTATAGAGATGCTTGTAAGTTATGTATCTACCTAGACCAGGAGAGAAAACTGTGACAAGAAATTGTACCAGATGATACAAACTGTTCCAGCTGGTACGTAAGAACCACAAATGCCATTTTACCAGAGGATCACAGGCTACATTAGAGCTCTTCTTCATGGCAGCCTTAAGAGGGTTTGAAGGACTTTGGTCTGCAGTCTTATTTAAGAAATCTCTTCTCACTGGGCGGTGGTGGCGCACGCCTTTAATCCCAGCACTTGGGAGGTGGAGACAGGTGGATTTCTGAGTTCGAGGCCAGCCTGGTCTACAGAGTGAGTTCCAGGACAGCCAGAGCTACACAGAGAAACCTTGTCTCGAAAAACCAAAAAAAAAAAAAAAAAAAAAAAAAGAAAAAAAAGAAAAGAAAAAAAAAAAGAAATCTCTGCTCGTTGATTGTCCCATACTTAAACAGAAATACTAGTTATTAAAGAGTTTTCCCAAATAGCCTCACACACTAATTTAGTTTAGTCTGAGGGTTGAAAATCAGACACAGCCCTTCCTGAGACTGCAGAGCTGGTTGAGATCCCACAAGGCAGGGATCAGACTTCCTGTGCTAACCTGGGGTTCTCATAACAACCAAGCATAAGGGGACAGAAAGCAATACCTTAGTCTGAGGCACTTCAAATCGTCACGTGTGACATAGTAAAGAACATCCACTAGTGTGTAGTCCTCAGCCAGAAACTGCAGAGAGAGCAAAGCATGTATGTGATAAGATGCTGTATATACTGAGAATAAATAAAATCTCTGCACAAGGCAAGGGCTGCTAATAATTAAGAATGAACATAAACAGAAAGCCAAAAACCAACAGTCTTCTGGAATTAGGAGAGGAAAAGCCTGCTGATTACAGACTTAGAGAGAAACATGTCGATGTGATTCCTGTTGCTTAGAGGAGAAGTGACGCAGCTTCATCCCACTTGTCATCACACACGCAAGCTGCTCACAGCTATTGCTTGTACCGAACAAGGCCAGTGCTCCGTATCTCTTTTTTCCCAAGTAGACAATATTCGTGGGACATTATTGCCAATATGTAGTCTCTGCACGTACTTTCCATAACCAGCAGCAGAGACCTTCCTATGGTATACTGCAAAGTTAGTTCTGGGTGGGAATAGAGCTTTTAATTTTCAAGCAAATGAAAGGGAAGATGGTTTACTGGATCGTGACTTAATCTCCTTTGATTGTGATTTGAGCCCAAGAGGATAAATATTTTGGAGAACTTGGTTGAATATATTGTTTTCCCTTAGCAAAAGGAGACCCTAAATTGTATGTAGTCCTTATATTGTGAAAATAAAAGTTTATTTTAGTTATTTAAATCTGTATACATAAATCTGAAGACAGTATAGTATTATTAAGAGGTCCTTTCTAGCAAATGGAAAAGACAACATCTTTAAAATAAGAGTTTTTATTTCTAACTATGTGTAAGGATGTATATTTACATATGGGTACATCCACAGAGTAAAGGCATGTCTAGACTGCAGAAGAGGGCATTGGGTGCTCTGGGGCTAGGATTCTAAGTGGCTGTGAGCCGTCAGATGTGGGTGTTAGAACCCCAGTATTCTTTAAGAGCAGAAGACACTCCTGACTGTAGAGACACCTCTCCAGCTCTCTAACAGGACATCTTCATATGTATCCGTGTGTTAGAGATGTGACAGTAGGTCAGATCCTCTGCATGTTAATTACGAGTCTGTGGCGGTGAGGGAGAAGTCAGTTGTCATGGACATAATGTGGTTTGCAGAGCGAGTACCTCTGACATAAATCACCAGCCGCATTTACTTTTGTCACCTAGCAACGAATAGCCACTGCTTAGCAGATATTAGTAACATTGCAAAAGAATTAAAATGTTGAGAAGTAGCAGCAAGAGGACACTTTCTCACAGTTCTGTTTGCTCCTTGCTCTTCTTCACTTTCTGTCAGTAAACAACAGAATCCTCAGAGGTCGTGGACAACTGCACAGTGTCCATTCCTTGCCTTTGTGCATCTTCTACCTCATGAGAATGAACTTCCTTTCCTTGTCCGTCCTGTCCCAGTATACACAGATGGCTACCTTTATACTACATACTCCTTTAGTCATTCATTGCCCTGTGGGAGAACCTTACACATGCATGTACCCTCAAATGCACATACATCACATATACCACACACATGCACATACACACCACACACAGACAAACACACAGGCACATACAGACACATGCAATCACACAAACTCATATACACCACACACAGACACACACACATGCACATACCTCACATACACATGAGCCTCCACACACTGCATACACGCATGTACACACCACACAGACAAGCACACATACACACAGATACGTGCACTCACACAGACACATGTGTACACATATACACACCACACTCACACACACAGAAACACACACACAGACATACACACAGAGACCCCTGAAAACTCTGTTGTCAGAATTTGCTAATGTAAGACTATTTTTTAAAAAATCGGGGGAACTCATCTGTCTCTCCTAATGTATGAATCTCCGTAGGGCAGGACTGGCTCTGACTTGCTCAGCACCCTGTCTCCTGTACACCTGAGGTGCCAGGCACCTCATCAGTATGTAGAGAACTGAAACACCTCGAGTCCCACAGATAGTTCCCTTTACCCGACTTATAGTGTCTTCATCAGCTCCATTTTCTCTCAGCCATCCAGTAAGTTCAGAATCTTCAGTGGTTGTGGTGGGAGAATTCAGGTGGCACACAGGAAACCCAGGGATATCTAGAACCAAAAGTGGGGAGAATCTTTAGCATCACAGAAGTAATGTGGATCCCGCGGGATCCGTGGGCATTTCTTGCTCATTTTAAATTGTCAAGACTGTCAAGAGACTAATAAAAAAAAACAAAACAGATTGGTTGTATAAATGACAATATAAATAAATCTCAGACAAGCTACTCTACTAGTAAGCAGGAAGTCAGAAGTAACACTGTAACGAAATACACTTCATACTTTCATATAATTTCTTAAAATTAACTTTGGGTGCACTAATTATGCCTTACATTTTCCCTGCAATCAAGAGAAATAGTTAGCAAAGTACTATACAATTATAGACTTTCTCTCTTTTTTTTTTTTTTTTGTTTTTTTCAGAGCTGAGGACCGAACCCAGGGCCTTGCGCTTGCTAGGCAAGTGCTCTAGCGCTGAGCTAAATCCTCAACCCCACAATTATAGTCTCTTTCTTGACTGTTTGTAATAATACAGAAGAGCTAAGCCGCTGAACAAGGAACTGTAGATACAACTTCCTAATAATTAGCAAAACAGATTCAGCCGTAAATTCTCATAAAACTGATTTCTTCCATGTTTCAAGCTATGGCCTTTTCTTACTGTAAACTTATCCTATTTAAGACTCTCCAAATTCAAAGGGAGAAAAGCTGGAATATGCTGGATACAAATACAGGTGAACCAAAGGAGTCTGATTCTGACTCTCTCACTGTGAAATCTTCTTTTGTTTGTATATTTTTTTTTGTTTTTTTGAGACAGGGTTTCTCTGTGCAGCTATGGCTGTCCTTCAACTCAGAGCTCCACCTGCCTCTGCCTCCCGAGTGCTGGGATTAAAGGCGTGCCCCCCCCCAATCATTGTGAAATGTCTAACAGGACTAAAAGAGTGGAGATTCTTGTTTATTTCAATAATGCATTGTCTCTGAAAGAGTAACCGTGAGCATGCATTTCTGTGTGCTCGGGGAAGATGATCAGTAACTAAAGTTAAGGAAGAGATCCTTAAAACGGAATTCTGGCTGGTGAGGGAGGCTCAGCTGCCCTGAAGCTGTACCGTACAGCTGCCTGCTGGCCTTCCCAGCCTTCTGTGGCATCCTAAACTGGATCACTTTGAAATCCTACACTGCTTACCTATGGGTTGGGACTTAAGCTTCAGGTGCTTAATTTCTTGGTCTTTTTCTTCAATCGCTCGATGAAGGAGTGCTTGTAACTCTTTCTCTTTCCGAACCAATTCTTCAAGTAACCTGTGGGAGAGACTCTGACTGAGTGGTGAGAGAATAAAGAACAGGTACAGTCCTGCTCTAAGCGCGAGCTTCTCTCCCAAGCTACAGCAAGCACAGGGATTTTATAAAAATAAAAGGCCAGTGCCAGCAGCTCTGGTCTGAAGTCAGGGAGCGCGTGCTAATGGGCTCCTGGAAGACAGTCATGTGGCAGATCTGTGGAGACTTGCAGTCATCCTTCTCAAGCTCTGAAGATTTGAGGGATAACTTAGGTGAGGCTACCTTTTATATCTGGCTCAATAAATGTTAATGGTTATTGTTGCAATTGTAGTCATTACTGCTATTTCCTTTCTCCCCTCTTGGGGTGAGTTAGGTTAGTGAAGCATTTCAAAAGACAGCCATGTTCCTGGTACATTCAGTTCCTAAAGTAGATCTGGTGTGCTCTCACGATGCAAAGATAAAACTCTGATATTCTAACCTAGTTTTTGCCTGTGGAAGGCCCGCTAGCAACCAAGAACCAACCAGTGTCCAACTCAAACTGTCCAGCCTGTTTCTGTGAGAAAACACTGCAGCTTACAGAAGCTGGTGCTCTAGTTCTTTAGAAAGCGTCTGGAGAGGGGCTGGAGAGATGGCTCAGTGGTTAAGAGCACTGATTGCTCTTCTAAAGGTCCTGAGTTCAATTCCCAGCAACCACATGGTGGCTCACAACCATCTGTAATGAGATCTGATGCCCTCTTCTGGTGCGTCTGAAAGCTACAGTGTACTCATCATATACATAAAAATAAATAAATAAAATCTTTGAGCCGGGCAGTGGTGGCGCATGCCTTTAATCCCAGCACTTGGGAGGCAGAGGCAGGCGGATTTCTGAGTTCGAGACCACCCTGGTCTACAGAGTGAGTTCCAGGACAGCCAGGACTACACAGAGAAACCCTGTCTCGAAAAACCAAAAAAAAAAAAAAAAAAAAAAAAGCGTCTGGAGTACTTCTGACTCACAATTCTGTATGTTTAAATATAATATAATCACTGGGGCTGGAAAGATGGCTGAACAGTTAGGAGCACAATGTTATTCTTGCAGAAAACCCAGGTTTGATCCCCAACACCTACATGGCAGCCCACAACCATCTATAACTCCAGTTCCAGGGAATCTAATACCCTCTCCTGACCCCCGAGGGCCCCAGGCACACACGTGATGCACAGGTATACATGTGACCAAAACACTCATACACATTAAGCAAATCTAAAAAACAAAATATATAATTATTAATAAGACCTTTACGACGAATTATTAAATAGCCTGTAGCTCTCAGCTGGCCAGCTCTGTTTCACTTTATGACCACTGATAGATTTACTTCAGGACCATGCATAGCCAAATGTTTGTTTCTGTTGCCAAGCGTGCTGTAAAAGAGAGATAAGCCTGGGTCCCTGGGCTGGCTCAGCCATACTTCCTGTGTACATCTATGACACATTTCTCAATGCCTCTGGGCTTCAGTTTTCTTGTTTGTTAAAATGAAATGGAAAACTCCTAGGAAGGATTACTGTGAGAATTCCGTGAGAGAACATATAAAATACTAAGCCCCAAGTAGGGGCTTCTATTTTGAGCCCCAAGATTTCCTCCATGCAGGACCTAAAGATGAGGTCCTTGTGAAGGAGATGGATCACAGTAGAAGCGGGTGCAGAGGTGGGCCAAAAGTGAGGTACAGCAAGCAGGGGGGGGGGTGCTGAAGAAGATAAGTAAGATCCCTGCAGAGAAAATAGTGTGCAGGTAACATGGGTTAAACAGCCTGGCGCTGAACGCAAGGGGTTTGCTAAAGGGAGACTTTGTATCAACTCTGACACCAGTATGTCCCAGAGCTGGAAGCAAGCTCTGGATGAATTTTTAGTGGGTGACTTTTGGTCTGAATGTATCTTTGTCTACCCTGCTGATTTAAAGACCTATAGAAAAGTGTTGGCATATCGCTATTGCCCTCTCAAGGGCACAGGCATTTCCTGAAACTTATTTAGGCTGCACAGTTCCCTTCTGAACTTTAACACTGGAAGCACAGGCTTGCCGGCCACCTCAACTGTTACAAGTCCAGCTTTAAGACCACTCCCCCTGCGGAGTTAGCCCGTGGGTTTAAGACCACTCCCCCTGCGGAGTTAGCCCGTGGGTTTAAGACCACTCCCCCTGCGGAGTTAGCCCATGGGTTTAGTGTCGCCACATGCTAGGTAGGAGGGGAATAAAGTGTAAGGATGACACATCTTCCTTTCTGTTTCAGAACAGAGTGTCATGCCTTCTACCTCAGGGATGCACAGCCCTGTGGTGGGCTGGCTGGCAGTTCTAGAATGGCAGTGTGGAGAAACTGGATCACAAGCTAGTGACACATGAGTTTAAGAATCCTTGTAATAACTGAGTTTTGAGAACACTTTATTAAGTGTATATGTGAAGATAAGTGACCATGTATATTCTACAGCTATCTGCTTTTCTTCCTGTTACTTAGAATTCCGGATAAACTAATAATCAGGAGCTGGTTGTAACACTGCGCAGGTTAGACGGGTTAAACAGCCGGGGGGCTGAACGCAAGGGGCTGAAAGGAGACTTTGTATCAACTCCAGCACCAGAATGGGAAGCAAGCTCTGCGTGACCCTTCAGTGCTGATTTAGCTTCATCAGCAGTTCTAAGAATTATAAGCTTAAGATTTTAGGCATGTGTGTGTATTTGTGTGTGTAGTGGAGGGGGCAGAGCTTGAAACCAGCACCTTGTATATGCTGGGCAAGCATCCGGTCACTGAGCTACACGCCCTTAACAGCATTCAACTGGGGATAAGTACAGCCAGTAGCCTATAATTTCTGTACTTGGGAAGTAGGGGCAGGAAGAGAAGGAGTTCAAGGGCATCCTCAGCTACATATCGAGTTCAAGGCCAGCCTGGACTACATGAGACCTTGAATACAAGGATTGAAAAAAAATTTGAATTTTAAGAAGTAATAATATTCAATTGAAAGTATAAAAGGACTAAGATAGACATTATCAGCCCCCCCCCACTTTATGCTGCTCAGTGCTTTTAGTAAACCATCTGCCCTTCAAATTATTTGTAAAGAAAACACTGAATCTCATCTCACTTTTCTGATGGTTAGGGGAATCTGGGGAAAAAAAATCTAAAAAGGAAAGGGGAAGCCAGTGGTCCTTAGACTTCACAGATTCAACTTGATAGCGTGTAGAGAAAACACAAACATGTAGATTATTACAAAAAGGTAGCTATGTCTGAGGGTAATACAGAAACATGGCAAATCCCTCCCTATAGAAATGGGTAGATTTTGGAAAGCAAGACTTCCGGTTGAGCCAAGAGGACCTCAGAAAAGACCTGTGACCATGTGAAGAAAACAGCTGGTAACTGTGGCTCCTGGAAACTGCCGATGTCATAAACATGGCAGACAGAAGGCTGTGCTGGCCGGTGAGCTTGAGGTGAAACAAACAGGCAAGAGAAGCACACGTACTTCTGAGATGATCAGAGAGGTAGGGCCGACCCATGTGCCCAGGTGGGCAGGCAGAGGTTTGAGGGACAGACAAGCAGACAGAGCAGCAATCTGGTTAACTTGGTAGCCTTGCTGCAGAACCATTCTGACCAGAAACTGTGGTGGGCAGATTTGGAGCAGCACAGTAATTCAGGAAGCTTCTGAGACCAGAGCAGGGGTTCCAAAATCAAGTGCACTCAGGATTGAGTGGCTGGGTGAACTGAAGGAAAGCAATGGAGTCACAGCCATTAGAAGGAAGGGTTAGAGGAGGCACAAGGCAGAGCTGCGTGTCAGAGGATGAGGTCAGGCAAAGCGATGGAGTCACAGCCACTAGAAGGAAGGGTTAGAGAAGGCACAAGGCAGAGCCGTGTGTCAGAGGGATGTGGATTATCAGAGTGACTGCCACCATATTCTACAACGTCTCCCCATGAAAATCACCAAAGATAAGTAGGTGAAGTTTAACTTTTAAAACCTTAAACTTACAATAAGAAATAAATCACCTTTGTCACCAATGGTGGACAACCATATCTTCCACTAAGGTCTCTAAATATTTGAACATCTTTTATGGATTCTCTAAAATGTTTTCATTGTAGACCCAGAGCCATAAAGTCTATTTCCCACATGGACTGCGCAGGAAGCTGTAAATCACAAGTACTCAGACTTTGAACTGTGCTACCAACTGTGAAGAGCAGGAAGCACTCACTGCCCATTTGATAATATGATCGAATAGGTTCTGTGGTACCAAACCCAATATATCATGACACAGTGACAAATGTGGCCAGGAATCTTCAAGCTTCTGAGTGTGACATTTAGTTCTGTCCCTTTGAGTACAAGGGCTTTTCTTAAAAGAACTAGATATCCCAAGTCCTGGGTGATCTCTGTTCTCTGTCTGCTCTGTCTACTGGAAGGAAACAGTCTGTTTGCAAGAGGGTCCATGAGGTTACAACTCAGTTATTCTGTAAATCCCAGTGTACCTTCGGCAAAGCACAGATAAGTGCTTGACCTGCCAGAGGCAGACAGCACCATAAAGAGAGGCTAAATCAACCTCTGTTGTTTTACACAGAAAAGCAGTTAGCTTTCTGTGTTGGGGTGAGAGAACCATTATGTGTGGTCTGTGGGTCCGAAGTTTGTTTGTTTGTTTTTATATAGAAAGTTCCTCTGTGGCTTGGCTGTCCTGGAACTCACTCTGTAGACCAGGGTGGCCTTGAACTCATGGAGATATACCTGCCTCTGCCTCCCTGAGAGCTGGGATTAAAGGCATACATACACTACTGCACCCAGCTCCATGGGACAGACTTTTAAAGTTAGACCTGAATTATTCACTTTTATAGAAATAAGAAAAAAGAAACCAACCCAAGCCCTCACATTACCTATTAGTTTCAATTTTCATCCTTCCAAGCTGCACATTCAGCGACCTGTGTGCATTCTGGGAATCGTGGGATATAGTGGAGCTGAGTGTGCTCACACCTGAGGTAGCCACAGCATCCTCGATGACGGCCTGAGGCCTTCGGACCGTTTGATTTGAAGGTGATTCCTCATGTTCATCTTCAACATCCAAGTCTTCTGGATCAGCTGTGTCACTCTCTGATGCAAGGCTAAAATGTGGCCTCAACTCTGTGTGGCAAAATACAGTATTAATAAATATGACCACTGACTGTTCACCTTCCTGCATTGGGATGTTATCAACCCCCATGCAATCTGCCCAAGCTGCTCTTTCAAGGGAAGGGGAATTTGTGTGCATTTGTTCAGATCTGTTCTTTTAGTGGGAACAGCAAGCACTTAGAGGGCTGTAAAGATCATTCTCAGTGCAGGAAGTACACCTGCCTTATCAGTTCTTTTTAATGTCCCAGGGCACCCTAACTTCTATGCTCAGCATTTCTGTGCCTGGTCACCACCGCATTTGAGAAGCAACAAGAAATGTTCAATGTTCCCAGTGATCTTCAGGACAGCCCGAGAACAGAACTCCTCAGGGACTCATTCCCACTGCACTCTGTTCTGTGCCATCAGTTTGGAACAGGGAGATTGAACACCTCTTAAACTTTTATTTCGAAACAATTTTACAGTAGTAGAGAAGTTGGTTAATACAGAGAGTGTTCTCTTGTACCTATCAGAAGCTTGCCCTAATCTTAACAACTTATGTGATTCAGATCTACTGTCCAAAGCAGGAAATCAACATTGATAACTAACTCCCTCTCCCCCCACCCCCCGTTTTCATTTTTAAGAAGAGGATCTTTATGGCCCTCACTATCCTGCCTCATCCTCCCACAGGCTGGGATGACAGACCCACACGACAGCACACCCTGACACAGTGGCCAGTTTTCCGGGTGACTCTGTCTCTGTTCTGATTGATGTTCTCTCACTGCAGTGAGGGGCCAGCTCTCCTGGTCTCTTCCAATAGTGACTACTATTCCCGTGCTAACGCTCATGACCTTTGCTCCCTGCCCCCCACCCCCCCCATTTGTCTTAATCTTTTTCAGGTAGGGTCTCTATAGTCCAGGTTGGCCTTGAACCCACGATCCTCCTACCTTAGCCTTCTAAGTACTTCCCTTCCCACCTTTAAGGAGAGCTGTTCAGATATTTTATACCATGCCCCTTACTTTAGGTAGACTTGATAAACTGTCAACATCCAATAGAGACAGCATTTTTAAAAAAAATTATCATAGACATGATGCTGCACCCTTCTTGTGCCCATCATAGCAAGAGATGCATGATGTAAGGCTCTTATGGTGCTCCCCTTGGTTGAGGAAGTATCCAGGTTCCTTCCTTTCCCCCGTCCCCCACCAGAGTTACTGTTTCCCCTTTGTAGTTAGTAAATACCTTGCAAGGAGAGACTTGGAAAGCATTCACTACACTACTTTAGCAGTCCTTGCCTGCTGCCAGCGCTTGTGTGGAGGCAGCGCTTGTGTGGAGGCGACTCCTCTACTGTCCACACTTCCTCTACATTTGGCAAATAGAACTTTATTGTAGCTAAGGGCTGAATCTTCTGTATATTTACGTATTCAGTTATTGATCTCACCTCAGATAAACAGGTAATTCATCCTGTCAGGCTTGCTACAGTTTGGGTCTTGAGTTTCCCCCAGAGGGGGAAAAGGCTCCTCCTTAGTGTGGTACCACTGGAAGGTGGGGAGATTCTTAGGAGCTGGGGTCACTATGAGGCATATGTCACTGTGGGTTGTAGGACCTGGTCTCTTGCTTCTCAGCCATGAGCTAAGAGGCTTAGCTCTGCCATATGCTCTCACTAGGACGTGTCCCCACAAGCCCAAAGCCCAATCACGGCCAAAATAAATCGTCTCTCTTATAAACTGATTATCTTAGGAATTTTCTATGGTGATAGAAGAATGGCCAGCACAGACCTAGAACCCAATACTATTTCAGTTTCATTTCATTTTGCTGTTTAAATCTTCAAGTTGGATCCTGTGTCCCTGCAGTAACCCCTGTGCTTTTCAGAGTCCTCCTTCCTTTTTATCACCACAAGATGGCTCCAGCCCAGTTTATATTTCTCCTATCTCAGGCCTGAAACCAACCACTCGAGCAGGAGCCCAAATTCCACCTGTCAGAGGAATCTGTGTCTAGAAACTACAATCTAGGTCCAGATACACTTAGGAATTGATAAGTCGTAAAGATGCTATGCCCACAGCTGCAAACCAAACAAGGCATTCTTACAACAGAGAGAGAATTCCACAATTTCCAAAGATCCCCATTACTTAAAAATTGGTGCGGTTCTAAGATCTTTCATAATGACCCTTTTAGGTTTCTATGTCTTTCCTTTAAGATGCAGGCACAAAATGTAACAGCGGTACATGTGCCTAACCCATGCACGTGTGTCTCTCTATGGGTGGACTTGCCTAGTGACATCTCCACTATATCCTAGCTGGGCAGAAGAGTTCTGCTTAAAAGTTTTGACTACTGAATAAACTGTCCAGGTACTTCGGGGGTTTGTCATGGTGCAGGAAGACACTCCTCACTCACGTCCCAAACCTCGGTTCATCAACACTGTGACTTCACTGCCAATACAGCGAGAGGATGCTTAGGCCAGTAATTTCCAAACCTAGCCATGTATCCAAGTGGCCAGAGAGCTGTACTCAATTGAATTTCTATAGCTAGAGTATAGAGGATTTTTTCAGTCAAAAAATATTATCTGTAATATTTAAAGGTGTGGAGGGGACATCATTATATTTGTCCAGATCCACAGGTTAAACAGTTCTAAGAATGAGCCTATGTGGATGGACACTAGGTGACTATGATACGCTAGTCCAAGTTCATCAACTGTAACAAATGTGCCTTCCAGGTGGGGAATGCTCGCACTGGGACAGGTTACATGCATGTTGAAGTGGAGAACATACAGGAAACCATGCCTTTCCTCTCAATTTTGTGATTAGTCTAAAACTTTTTAAAATTTCTAAAGAATTAGTTCCTGGGCCTTAACTCTAGAAGACTATTGCCAGTTGGTCTGAGATGGGCCGGCGAGCTGTGATTTTTGCTAACTTCATTGGGACGAACTGATATTCACTAGTTATGAACAGTGCCGAGGAAATGTGTCTATGGGCACAGATATTACACATTAACATTCATAACTATTCGGGGCATCCTGCAGCTTTTAGTTCTTCATGTCCTAGCATGCTGCCTAAAGCAAACCTTCCTCACTAGTGGTGAAGGTTTTGCTCGGTTTTTCCTTGTGCGTACTGAATTTCTAGATGAATGTTATTTGGCGACTCTGAGGTTAAAATGCATACCTGCCATGCCCCCCCATAAGCTCATGTATTTGAGTACCTGGTCTCTAATTGGTGACACTCCTTGGGAAGGCTTGGGAGGTGTGGTGGCCTTGTTAGAGGTGTGGCTACTGGGAGCAGGTTCTGAGAAATTAAAGACCTGAGCCACTTCAAATTTCTGCTTCATGCTTGTGATTTAAGATGAGAGCTCCCAGCTTGCTGCTTCAGCCATCATGCCTGCCCTCCGGCATGCCTCCCCACCACGGTGGTGCTGGGCTGCTATTGCTCTGGAGCTGAAAGCCCAGATAAAGCCTTCCTTCTATAAGTTGCCTTGGTCTTGGTGTTATCAGAGCAAAAGAAAAGTAAGATAGCAACCCAGAAATGAAATGGCAGAGGCAGACCAACCCAGAATATACAAGCACTAATTATCTCTACACAGTAAGTAAACAGCTCTGACCTGGAACCAAAATGGTAATAGCTGTCTGCACAGCCTTCCGGATGATACTGTCCAAGGCAAACATCCAGTGTGGCTTGATGTTATGATTCCGAAGAACTTTATTGACCTGGAAAAAACAGTGACCTTTAGTCTACGTAAATTTTTTACATTATTTATTACTATTATTCTCCTCCCCTAAGGTGTGTGTATGTATGTGTGTGTGTGTGTGTGTGTGTCTGTGTGGGTGTCTCTGTGTGTGTTTATGCATAGGCATATGCATGAGGTAGAGGAAGAGCAAGGCTACAGTTTCGGTGCTCAGCATAGCTGGTGGAAGGCATAAAAGCAGGAAGAGTTCAAGGGGTTGTCAATAAAGACAATCCCTTCCCTGCAACGTCCTAACTACCATTTAATACAGACAAAGCCTGAGCACAAACCACGATTTGGAAAAATCAAGGGAAGAGAGTACAAGTTAGTATTCGTGTACAACATACACCTTGCCACAATCCTGATCTTTTTCTGCTTTTTCTTCGACTGTTGCTGATGCCTGTCTGTACAGGAGAATAATCTGCTGGAATATTCCAGAAAGCCTAGCCCCCCCCCATCACTGTTGTAAAGATAACTTTTTACAATGGCTGGTAAATGTTCCACCCATTTAAATAGACACACACCCGACCATTATGTCCTTTTAAAAAATTATCGTGAATTACACAGATTATAATACTTCCAATGTTAATCATTTTTATCTGCTTGCTCAGATGAGTTTTAATAATATAAAATTAATGATTTCAACCACACAAGGCACTAAGTACCTTCATATTATTGTATGGAGGTTCTCACAGTCCATCCTTAGGCCTCTTTCTCATACAGAACTGGAACTCGGGACTCATTCAGATCTAAGTTCTCACCCAACAGTCCTGCACGCCTAACCTGCTTCCATCCCTGCGGGATATGCTCCAGAAACCTCCCCAAAGTCAGAGGATGAATTGTTTGGCTGTTTTGAAAGACCATCCTGTTTGACTTCGCATGACATTACTTTTTTTTCCTTTATTTTATGTGTACACTGTATGTACAGTATATGTGTAGCTGTCTTCAGACACACCAGAAGAGGGCATCAGATCCCATTACAGATGGTTGTGAGCCACCATGTGGTTGCTGGGAATTGAACTCAGGACCTCTGAAAGAGCAGTAAGTGCTCTTAACCGCTGAGCCATCTCTCCAGCCCTTAGCATGACATTCTTAGGATTCATCCACATTTACAATGGTGGTTTTACAATGGAAATACCAGAATTTCTTTTTTAAAGACTGAACAGGCTGGGCAATGGTGGTGCACACCTTTAATCCCAGCACTTGGAAGGCAGGCAGATTTCTGATTTCAAGGCCAGCCTGGTCTACAGAGTGAGTTCCAGGACAGCCAGGGCTACACAGAGAAACCCTGTCTTGAAAAACAAACAAACAGCCGGGCGGTGGTGGTGCACGCCTTTAATCCCAGCACTTGAGAGGCAGAGGCAGGTGGATTTCTGAGTTCGAGGCCAGCCTGCTCTACAGAGTGAGTTCCAGAACAGCCAGAGCTATACAGAGAAACCCTGTCTCGAAAGACAAAAACAAAAAACAAACAAAGAAAAAACCCCCAAAAACCAACCAACCAAACAAACAAAAAACCAAAACCAACCAAACAAAAAGACTGAAAAGACTGAACAGTACTCCCATAACATCTGGACTGGGTCTACTACTTCCCAGTTCACAGCGGCATGCATCCACGGGAGCTGGCTGCGGCTAGAGAACCAGGGGGAAGCTGGGTTGCACACTCGTGCCAGGAGTCAGAGCAATAGCTACTCAGTCTTCCCCTTGGTCCGGACTCATCCAAACCACCCGGTTTCAGAGAGAGGCAGCCTGGACTTTTTCATAGCAGTTGATCCTAAGGAAAGGAACTACTTCTGGGACCTCCCTTGTTCCAGGAAATTCTTTCAGACTGAGCTTGCATTACCTCAATTTCCTAAATGGATCAGCTTGCTGATGTGTCTAACCAGTCCATCACTTAGGAAACGGCAGTATTTCAAGAGTGAATCCTTTATAACCATGACCTGCCCGCACACCCCCTCAGTACACTGCTTATTGCTCAATGCCTCATTACACAGCATATTACCCAACGAGAGCACTGGACAGGCAAGGAGTAAAGCTGGGGTGAGTGGGTTGCGTGTCTGTGTCCGACCTGGGCACAAGGCCCAGGATTACAGCTAAATAGCTCTCACTCTGAATTCTCCAGCCAACTCGTTCCCCAACGTCTTGCCCAGAAGCCAATATGTGGGCAAGCAGAAATCAGCTACATCTTTGCCCTGGATGGCAGACGGCTGGGTTTCCATAGTTGCAGTGTAAACATGCCTTAGTGTTTAATATTAGTGACAGGCGCTGCTAGCTGCTTTGATTCTCTGTGACCTCAGTCCAGTCAGGAATCTTGTTCCTGTTCACCATATAGCAGAAAGACCAAGCAGTTTCCCACTCAGAACACCAGTGCCTGCTGAAGGATGAAGATTCAGTTTGGAATGGAGAATTGTTTCTTATTTCAAATACAAATGTCAAGAAACCATCTAACACTGTAGTAATACATTACGAGTTAATGTTAAATTTTTAAATAAAACCATACAGTGTGGTTTCATATTCGCATAACAGGCACCAGCAAGATATTTTTTCCTGCCTCCCATACCTTGTAAGTGTGTCTGAGAGCGGCTTACAAAGGTCTACAGAGAAGCCTTACTCAAGAATAACAGGAAAGGTTTTAAATCAGACTTGCAGAATAGCTTCTAGTTTCTATTGCATAAGACTGTCAGTGATCTCTCATTAGAGCACAATTAGTTTCCACTCGCCAGCTGTCTATTCTCTGAACTATATTTCTGGTGGGAAAATAGTGGATACTTAGGAAATGAACCTGTTAAGAATGTTCTATACGGAAACCAGAGAAAAGCCATGGGGGCAGAGGGGAGAGATCACCAATTCAACAGTGAGCATTCTCAGGTGTAACTGCATTTCTCCCAGTGGCCACTAGATGGCACTTCTTGTACAGCATTATGAAACCCAAGACTAACATGTGCTATGCTTCAGAGGCCAAATTAAGTCTACGACCACACGATCCTAAGGAGAAACCCAGCCTTGGGAATGTCTGTAAGTCTTGCTGTTTCTCATGGTGGTTCAGCTGTGTGGGTCTCTTGTCTTTGGGGGAACTCAATAAATACCTCACATCTGTCACCCGAAGAGAATACACTTTATCGAGTAGATGAAAGGGAAGAGAATTTAAAATTGTATCCCATTTCTATAACCAACACTTAGCAGAGGTTGTAGGAAAATCACAGCACATGCACTTACCGCATCCTGGAAGCCAAAGAGGACCACCTGCACCTGGCTGATACCATGGCTGTCGAAGTCCAGCTCGAGCTTGAGCTTGGACAGTGTAGTAGCTATGATTTTTCGGTCAGTGGACCTCACAAACTCTCTGAGGCTCGAGATGAGGGTTGTGATGTGTTCCCACTTTAGTTTAGGCTCTTCAGCACCCTGAAAATAAAACCCCACAAGGCCTCAGTCACTCTGTACTCCACGCGAGCTTTCCGTTCTCAGAGTCTTTTCTCAGAAGACCTGAGCTCCAAGAGGCCTCCTGCTAAGGACAAAGAACATGTTTTGAACTCCGTGGCTCCTGTTTGTAGCCATCACTGCTGGCAGAGGTAACCTAGCCTTTGGAGGAACAACCTTACACCCACGCTGGTCTGTAGCCAGGACACATCTGGGCTGTGCCCACATGGAGATAGGTTGAGGTGGTGAGAATCCTGCTCTCAGAAATTTTAATTGGACACTAAGGCGAGAGAGGGGCACCGAGCCACGGAATCTCAATCTCAGAGTCTGCTAGCAGAGAGGTCGAGATCCAGGGTCAGGGATGCTCCCAAGGACATGGGAATAGCTGCAGGGGAGTTGAGAATGACAATGACAATGGGAAAGAGAAGGAGACAGAGCAGAGATGAACAGCACAGAGCAGCAGCAGCCAAGCGAGAGCAAAGATGGAAGGAGCCACCGAGGTTCCTCTGCCAGGCCCAGCTGGGTACCGACGGGCTGTTTCTCTCCTGGCTGTGTGTACCTATCAAATGTGTGCCCGGCCCTTCCACTGCCTTTAAAGTCAGTTCCTTGTCATAAAAGGGGCCATCTTAGGCAGTACCACTGAAACCCAGCCTTGACAACAACTGGGTAATCAGTTATAAAAATGAACCAAGGAAACTTTACATATTTAAATAGACCTCTTCTTCAAAGTGGTTTTTATTTATTTTAATGTGAGCAAGGCACACTGAGCCTGTAAAGAAAACCTAATTTAACTTCAAGAATTTTTATTAAGCTCATTTTTATTTCATATTGCATTTTCTAACTGTATTACTAAAATTAAGTTTCTCCACCGGGCCAATAAAATTCCCATCATTAAAATTCCATAAAAAATTTCAGAAAGCACCTTCATCTTCTCTGCATATTCTTGATTTGGGAGCTTGGTCCCATGTTTAAGTTCTCATGAGAAAAGTCTAAATTGAAAGGCCTAAAGGCTGTCATTAAAGAAACATTTTAAAATTATGCCGAGAACAATTACAAGCTTTGTTTTGTTCTTACCACAAACTAAATGACACCCAGAGGGAAGATCCACAGGCAACTTCATAACACCAGGAAAATATCAGGAGAAAAGCCGACTTATTTAACTGCTAGGAGAGCAAACATTTGTTTTTGACATCAGGTTTGTTTCCAAAACAGCAGCAGCAGCAGCAACAACAACAACAAAAACATGCTGCTTTTGGTTTTTGGATGTGTGTTGCTATCCTACAGAACAGTCTCTACCCTGGTAAATGCTTCCTGTCCAGACGACCTCATCCGCTTAGTCATCACTATTTCTGTCCTAACTCCAGTCTCTCTGCGCTAACTCATTAGAGGGCTTTCCTTTCTGAGTGAGCATGTCCTGCAGGGTAGAAGTGCCTCAAAACAATGGTAGCATTTGACAATGAGCCTTTCCCACAAATTCAGCATTCATAGGTTTTCTGCAAGTCCTCTCTACCCTTGTGTGCACAGCTCTGTGTGTGTGTGTGTGTGTGTGTGTGTGTGTGTGTGTGTGTGTATGTGTGTGTGTGTGTGTGACATGCAGATAGGCACACATGTGAAGGCCACAAGCAGATACTGGGGTATCTTCCTCTATTACTCTTTGCCTTACTATATTAATACAAGGTCTCTCTCCAAGGATCTTCCATCTCTGCTTGGGCTGGGTCTATAGGCATGCCCTGACACGCTCAACTTTTAGATGAGTGCTGGAGATTTGGATTTGAACTCAGCTCCTCGTTTTAACAGAAAGTCCCCTTGCCCACCAAACCCTCTCCCTAGGCCCCTATTCTTTTTTCTTTAAACTGTTAGTGATTTATGGAAGGTGATAAGAGTTTAAAGGGGTGTCTGGGGCCAGGGAGATGGCTCAATGGGTAAGAACGCTCTCTTGAAAGCATGAAGACATGAGTTCAAATCCCTAACATGCACACGTAAAGAAGGGGTCTTGTCTTCACCTGTCTATAATCCCAGCACCACAAGGCAGAGACTGGTGGATCCTGACAGCTCACTGGCCAGTCAGCCTAGCTGAAAGAGCAAGCTTCTGGTCAGTGAGAGACACTGTCTTAAGGTTAATAAATCAGAGTAACAGAGGATTAATTAACAGAGTAACAGAGTAACAAAGATTAATGTGCTCTGATCTCCACATGTGCATGCACCTGCACGCTCGTGTGCATGCAGCATACACATACTTATCTCCATCCCATAACATACTTCAAAACACACCATGCACATACAAGATACACACACCCCAAGATAAAAAAAAAAAGCTTTTCATGGGTTAATATACCAATGATCGGACCAATAATCCCCTTTGGGTTTGTTCTGTAGTGTAGACTGAAATGTAATTATTTCTCTAGAAAGGTTTAAAAACATTAAGAAAACATTTCTACATAGGAGGGATTGTGATTAAGGTATAAGATGTGAAACTCTCAGTAAATTGATAAAAATGTTATGTGGGGGAAAAATGTTATTTCTGTCCCATTGTAGAATAAAAAGAGAAAGTAGGTAACTATTATTAGGTTGGCTGATGGTAACAAGTTCACATTTGTGCAGTGCTTTTTATTATGACCTAAATTTCCCATGACTCAGTGGCTCCTGTTAGCAATCCCATGATGCTTTGTCTAACAGGTGAAGTGGCTCAGGCTCTGAGGATGTCAGTAACTGACTCAGTTTGCACAGCCTTTAAATGATGGAGCCAGGACCCTGAGCAAGGCAAGTCCAAACTTACTCCAGGTTCAGTTCCTAACTATGTATTCCCCCTGCCACAAGCTGGAACATCAGCTGTAAACTGGAGTCAAGACCTGTTCTGCACCAAGTCACCATTTGCTGTGACAGATGGGCGTCTCTCTAAGGAATTCAGTGTCCTGAACAGTGCAGCCCACCACTGTTGTCTGATCATTTGGGTGTGATTCCGGCTGGCAATTTCTAGTACTCCAGGAGCTTCTTGGTGTCCAAGGCTGACCTGGATGTGGGTCCTCCATCTTTTCTCTCACAGGAAACATTCCAGTAGGCTTTATTTAAAAATGTAGATATGCTAATCCATTGAGAATAATTTAGAAAAAAAAATCCCAAGTTTTAGGGATTTCATAATAAACCATAGTCCAGTGGTAGAGTACGTGCCTGAGATATCCCAGGCCCGGGTTTAATCCCACAAGCATATTCAGTCAGTCAATTAGCCAGTTAATCAGAATGTTAGCAGCCGCAGGGGTGACTGCTCTGGAAAATGGAGCTACAGTGAGGACCAGTGGAGTCCATCAGGAGTCAAGGAACAAAACAACAAAACATGACCATATCTCCTGTACTGGAAAACTGTACTTTTTTGGAATGTGGATAATTTAGACAATTCCTGACCTAAAAGTAAACATCATAAATCCATGGTCATAGGAGAAGCCTTCATTCCATCGTGGGTAACAGTGACCTTCCACACCTGTGTTTCCACCATTTGCCATGCCAGGGAGCCAGGGCAGAGTGGAGGTTAAGACTATACACTCTGGAGCCAGACTGTCTGCATCAAACCCCAACTCCATCTTTTGAGGGTACATGACTTCGGGAGTTACACAAGCATGTATGTATTGCTTTCTTCATCTGAAAAGATGGTTGCTAATAGGTGTGCACTTTAGTTCTGGCATCCGGGGACTGAATGAGTGCACACATGGATAACAGCCTGAGGGATTATGTGCTGTGGTTACAGTGTATCTAATAGCTACCAGTTGTTGTTGTTGTTGTTGTTGTTGTTGTTGTTGTTCTTCTTCTTCTTCTTCTTCTTCTTCTTCTTCTTCTTCTTCTTCTTCTTCTTCTTTCTTCTTCTCTTCTTCTTCCTCTTCTTTTCTTCCTCCTTCTCCTCTTCCTTCTTCTGTTCCTTATCCTTCTTTTCCTCCTCCTCCTCCTCCTCCTCCTCCTCCTCCTCTTCTTCTGCTAGAATGTCAACTTTGGTGAAATATACAGTTATATTTTGTTCACCATTGTATCCCCTGCCTGTGAACAGACCTGGTGTGATGGTTGGTATATGCTCAGCCCAGAGAGTAGCACTATTAGAAGGTGTGGCCTTGTTGGAGTAGGTGTGTCACCGTGGGTGTGGGCTACAAAACTCTCGTCCTAGTAGCCTTCAGATAAAGACACAGAACTCTCACCTCCTCCTGCACCATGCCTGCCTGGATGCTGTCATGCTCCCACCTTGATGATAATGGATGGACTCTCTGAACCTATAAGCCAGCCCTAATTAAATGCTGTCCTTTGTAAGACTTGCATTGGTCATGGTGTCTGTTCACAGCAGTAAAACCCTAACTAAGACACCTGGCATTCAGCAGATGTGTAGTGTTTGCTGGATGACTGAATGAACTGCAAGTCATGCATGTGTTTCCTCCATCTAACCTTGGTTCCTCATATCTCAATCTGTCCTATTCTCAATTCCTGAATGACCACCTTGGGCACACCCAGCCTCCCTGACAACTACCCTCTCCCCTCACCCAGAGGCCTGCCTGCCTTCTTAGGCCACACCTGTTTCCTGGGCCTCATGGTCACTGTGGTCCTTGATTGAGACAGTTTTCTACTAGGACCACAGTTGGCTTCCTTCAGAAAGTACTGATGGCATTCTCCTAAGTTCTCTCTGCAGCCAGAGCCTTTACCGGCACACACATTGCTCTTTTTATGAGATCTAAAATGTGGATATTAGGAGATTCCTATGGTGACAGAATGTTCAGGCTCAGGGAACAGCACAGATGCCTAGCAGGGCTGACAAGATACAGCTGGAGCTGAACAGTAAGAGCCAAGAAAGAGAACTTGGCTTCCCATCTGTCCCGAAGGAAGACAAGGTCAGGCCAACAGTTTCCCTGAGATGTTATCACCCTGGTCCACCCATCTACTCTCTTTGCAGCCATTTTCCCAGGACTAAGAGGAACAAAGCTGTGTGCATTTCACACTGCCATGAGCAGTTCACAGTGATGACGGGGCACTGATGCCCACAGTGTTCACAGGGCTGAGAGAGGAAGACAGACATCACACTGAGGACTCGCTATGCCTATGGGGAGAAAGCTCGCACCTGCAAGAGCTCTGAGCTGTGGCCTATCTGCCGAAATGGACGGAATCCCATTATCACAGGCGAAAGTAAGGATGGAGTCTAATCCACCTGGACTGGAGTCTTCAAAAGAAGTGTGAGAGACACTGGGGTGCTTAGGCATAGAGAGCAGAGCATCTTGGGATACTGGGAAGAGATGGTAATCAGTTCCCAGAAGACAGTTAATGTGTTGGCCTTGGACTGAAAAACTCCAGAACTTTAAGGAAACAAATTTCTGCTGAGTAAGACACCCAGTTTACAGCATTTTGTCCTAGCAAGCTAAGATTCCAGGGAAAATAGTTTTCTTTGGCTAGGTATTTGGTTGGTTGGTTGGTTGTTCTTCACACAGGAATTCTAACATACTACACAGTTGCTCACAGCTGCCCCCACCTCCTTTGTGAACTTAGTGTGCTTATAAACGAGCTGACACTTCCAGTGATCAGAGGAACAGCTGACAGGAAGCCTTGAGCTAACATCAAAGTCAGCAATTCATGTGGCTTAATCTTCGTGTGACCGTGGGAACGAACAGAGGAATTGTGTAGGGGCATGAGAATCTGCCTGTCCCATCCAGGTACTGTATACATGTATGGACACTAAGTAAGTCACACTCATGAACTTGTTAATAAAACTATTGCATCTGCGGTCTATTAGAGTCAAGATTTTACAATTTCAAGAGGAACTGTAAACACCTTAATTCCATCAGTTCTTCTCTTAAAAATACAAGAACAGGAAGGGAGGGAGGAGTGAAGGAGGAAGAAGAGCAAAAGAAGGGAGCACAGAGAAAAGGATGAAGGAAGGACAGAAGGACGGATGGACAGAGGAAGGAAGGGAATGGTAAGGGCGGGGCTGGAGAGCAACAAGCAAGAAAGAGTGAACCACATTGCCTTCAATGTACACACAACAATTTGTGTTCACAAACATAGTTTTACACAAGGTTTTTCCGAAGGGAGGGCTTTTATTATTACTTTTTGCAAAATAAGGTCTCCCTATGTAGCCCAGGGTGGCCTAGAACTCACCATCCCCCTGCCTCAGCCTCTCAGGTGCTAAGACACTCATCATGTGTGTTTGTCATTTTACTCAGAGTACTATAGCCTCCTTACATTTCCAGATCTCCTAGACAACTCTGTGTTGTATGCACACAGGTAAAAGTCTGTAGCATGTGGCCAGGGCATGGTGGGGCGTCCCTGTACCCCACCTAACCAGGGGTAAAGTATAAGGACAGCTTGAGTCCAGCCTGGGCAGCACAACAGAAATTGATCTCTAAGAGCTTAAACTAGTGGCACACGCCTTTAATCCCAGCACTTGGGAGGCAGAGGCAGGCGGATTTCTGAGTTCGAGGCCAGCCTGGTCAACAGAGAGAGTTCCAGGACTGCCAGGGCTACACAGAGAAACCCTGTCTTGAAAACAAACAAGCAGACAAATAACAACAAGGAAAAGATCAAATAAAATTTACAAAACAAAACAACAACAAAAACTATGTAAATCTTCAGGAAGGGAAGTGCCCAGGAGGCTTTACCTGGGCCAGAGATTCCATGAGGTTCCTTACAACCTTGTCCTGGTCTTCAGTCAAGATCCGATGAAGGGTAGCCCGCCTCTCACTATCCTTTCTCAGCATAAAAAAGCCAGAGTCTTTCTCTTCAGGGGATGGGGGTGCACTGTGATCTTCAAAATTTTCATCTGGAATGCTGTAACAATGGGTACATCATAAGTCAGGGTCTCCTCACAGAGTGACAACCCACAGGGTATGTCTTTCAGTACAAACAAGTCAGTTCTTTACCCCAGGAACAGTGTCCGGATCCCTTTCCCGTCCTTTTCTCCACAGGACTTAGCTCTGCTTTTGAAGGAGAAGGGGTCTGCCTTTAGCTCTGTATCAGGAGAAACGGAGCCATATTCGCTACTGCTGCTGGTGTCTTCTACCAGGACAGGGACTGGCAGGGATATGCTTCTAAGATACTCTGTGATAGGAGGAGAGAGAAAGAGAAGGTGGCATACATTCTAAGAACTTTACACATATGGGCACATCTGTGAAAGAGACCAGTATCCTTTGTCATGCCCGTGACTGGATGAATCATGCTGTGTAGCAAGCTGATCATGTGATCACGGTCCCTGCCTCACTCAGCATAACTAGGTATTTGGGCAAAGGTTCTTGGACCCTGAAAGGAGCATCTCCCAGGACAGGAGAACCAGGCTGCAGCTCAGCAGGTCCCAGGTTCCCATTTTAACTGATGACTTAAATTGACATTTGCAGGTCTCACTTCCCACATCTAGAAACAGGATGAGGTGCAATGATTTGAAATTTTAAAGCTATATCCTCCCGGGCTCGAAGGTTCACCTTAGTATCTGTGGCTACCTTGGAATTAGGAAGGCATGGGGTGCTGTGGGGCTAAACAACAGGTTCTAACCCTGCTTCACCTAGGACAGACATGCTGACTGCCACTTGTCATGGCAGGAGGAGGCACATGAAAAAGCATTCTTTGCTAAAAAAAAAAAAAAAAAAAAGGTTTGGAAACCAAGAGACCTCTAAGGCCCTCCCTAGTTGCCAGACACGAACTCCACTGCAAACACAGCCATCTGCCTTGCCTTGATCGGAGATTCCTACATTTCATTCCAAACTGGTTTTAAAGACAGTAAATTTTGCCAGAAACATCTTTAATGTCTCAACATTACAAACATCTCTTACTAAAAATAAGGCAAGTGTCAAGTTATAAAAAAAGCACGCATGGTTGCTTGGAAACCTCTTTTTATTTAATTTCTGTTAAGCTGGGTTGAGCTGAACTCGCCCAAGTCTCAAGGATGATCAGTCACCAGTGGCTCCTCTTCCCCATTCCCCACGACTGCAAGTCAGCCATCACTGCCAGGGTGCTGGCCACTGACCACCAGACAAATGCCCACACTGTGATCACCCACTCTTCTCTCTGGTTTACAAACACCCGAAAGCAGGACAACCATCCTAGCTTCCCTTCTGTTATAAAAAAAAAAATATCCTGGTAGAAACAGCCTAGGTGAGAAAGGGTTACCTCAGTCACCGTTCTAGGTTAAAATCCCTCACTTCAGGCAAGGACCCAAGCCAGGAATGGTGATGCTCACGTGGTTGGGTCTTCATACCAATCAAGACAGCCTCCTGCAGCTGTGCCCAGCGGCCAGCCTAATCTGAAGGTATTCACTAGGACACTCTTCCCAGGAGACTCTAGACTATGTAGACAATTAAAACCAACAACAGGCCCTTTACTTTTCCTTTGGCTTCTCCAGGTACTTTTAGGTTGTAGACTCTTACATGCATGTGCGTGCATGCGTGCGTGTATACTGCACACGTAACTAAAGAAAATATGAAAAACTATGCTATAATACTAACAGTAGTTCTTTCTTGAAGATATAATTTAGGGTGAAAACATTTTTCAGTTTTTCTACACTAAGCAAGTATTTTGTATGTGCATGCAGGTATACATGTGTTTTCAGATGTGTATACATGTGTTTGTGCATATGTGTAGGGCCCAAAAGCAAACTATCAAGCTTCCCGCCTTGATGATAATGGACTGAACCTCTGAGCCTGTAAGCCAGTTCCAATTAAATGTTGTTCTTTATAAGAGTTGCCTTGGTCATGGTGTCTGTTCACAGCAGTAAAACCCTAACTAAGACAGATAGCAAAAGGGCTTCAGTAAGAACTTGATTGATCTAGGTACAGGCTATAATCTCAGCACTTGGGATACTGGAGTAGGAGGAGGCCAAGACTCGCAAGGCGGGGCAGGTGTTAACGTATAAATCAGTAAGACTCTACCTTCCCCAATAAAGAAGGAATCAGCACCATGATCACTTGAATTTCAAAAGCAGAACTGGTATCTTGGGAATGAACAGATCAATACTGTTTGGATTACTAGCTAAGACTTTCCTATCTTGTGCTTCTGCAAATGTATTCATGTGATACACACGTACGTCTGTCTACAGAAAGGGAGCAAGGCCTTACTTTATCCTGCTTTTTTACCTCTTTGGTCTCATTAGGTGGTTTGAGTAGCCAGCAAGCCTTTGTCTTGTGAGTTTTAAGGTTGCTATGGATACTGATTGCCTAAAAGGAGGCCTAGGGGGGTAAAAGTATACATGTTAAAGGTAAAGAACCCAGGGCCTGTCAATCATCTTAAAATGAAAAGGAAGCCTGTGGACACCATGTGTAGTCCTGGCTCATCCTCATCCTGAGGAGATCAACCTGTGGACCTAGTTCTAAACTGCTTCTCTTATTAAGCCTCACCTCATGAAAAAATCAAAATGCTTCCAAGGTTTCTGTTCTCTAAAAATTAATGCGTATATATACTATTTGCATATTATGATGAGAAAGAATACAAGCTAGAGGGGAAAGTCTTTTCAGTAGCCAAGAGGTGTTATTTGATTATTCAGCATGCAAAGTGAACAAGGCAATTGGGTTTGAGTCTGGAGCTCAGAAAAAGTTTGGGTCAGAGGTGTGACTTCAGTCAACAGTGACTTCAAAGTAATTTAAAGCAAGGCGTGACATAGTTTAGGGAAAGGTAACACACCCTTTCAGAATATCAATATTTTATAGAAAGGGGAGAGAGAAGCACCAGCAATGGGGAATGAGGAGACTCAGCACGGAACAAGAGGTGGATGAGGCTTCAGAGAGGCTCACACAGGGCATGGCTGAAACAAGACAAAACAGGCTTTCAGGCAAGAAGGCTCTGAGAACTGGAGAGAACTGAGTAAGTTCTGGTTGGATTTACATTCATGGGTCGCACTGGAAAGTTTAGTCAAAGCAGGTTCAGAGGTCAAGTGGAAGGGCAAATACTAGACCACCAGGAATAGAAAGCAGAGAAGACCTGGAAACATTGAACTTGAAGACATGAATCTATGACGGCAGAGAGGGAAAAGGTACAGTGTTAGGCAACAGGACATTTGAGGAGGATCAGCTTAAGACAGAAGACACCAGACATTCATAGATGACTTATACCAGATGGGGAGGCTGGGCAGAAAGGACCCACCTGGGCTCCTGGCCTTTGATGGATGCTGTCTGTCACTAGGGCTAGGAAAGGGGTACTTGGGTGTCCAATCACATGCTTATGGGAGATCTATTCTAGATTGTTCAGCTTGCTTCCTCATGTTCTGGAGGCCAAGAGGAAGAGCTGTGCTTCCACAGGCCTTGAACAGCACAGATTCTTGGATCCCAGCTCAGACAGGGGAGCACTGGGCTCTCAGGCTATGGAATGGGAGCTAGGAAGTGTGTCTAGTCACTGGCAGCCTTGCTGCCAATGCCCTGCCAAGTCCTACAAAGCCTACAGCTATGAGGAGCTGCCTGTAGAAATCTGAAGAGGCCTAGTGAGCCAGGTTACCTCAGAGGTGTATTTCTGGATGTGCATTGCTAAGTTTTAGGGGTTGATGGAAAAGTATTCGGTTCCAAAACCCTCTAAAGGAAAGCTTTATCAGAAAGCTGGGGTGTGGCTGGGGTAGAGGGCAGGTGGCCCCATCTGTGGATGGGACCCAGATTGCCTAGGATTCCCATCTAGAGGAAGAACAGGTGCTATCTCAAAGACATTAGCTATGACTCACTTGCAGAAGGTGGGAATTTGTTGGATGCAATTTCTATGAGGAGATCTCAGAAAAGTTATTCAAGGGCAACTGGGACCTTCTGGGTTCCCCATTCAGACAATCTAGGGACAAAGCTCCCCTCCAACACAAAGCCTCCTACCCAGTCAGACTGCCTGTCTCCAGTTGCCCAAGCCTTGGTGAACAGTCCCCACACCTTAGCTGCTTTAAGAGCTGGCTGAGCTTCCTCAAGAGAACAGGAGGCCAGGCTACACTTCCAGACCATGGGAAGGGCCAGGCATCTTAATGACTAGCAAACACCCAGTTAGTTCAGGTAGAAGGATCTCAGTCTGAGTCACTTCTACATATTGAGTATCTGCTGCTAACTCCCCTTGTGCTAAATGAATAGCACCATTGAACCAATGACATTAAATGGATAAACTATCTTCCACCCAGGTATAGGAACGATGACTGCTTCCACCATCTAACAAGGTGGCCGGACGCCTCAGATGATTATTTACATTAGCATTTAAATAAAAGAGCAGTGCCTCAGCCATAGGCACTGTTTTTGAGTTGAGACAACCACATTGGGTCTGGTGACTGATGTACTAGATGAAGACGACACAGGACACTTCTGTTATTAGAAAGTTATGGACTCAGTGCTGGTGACACCATTCCAGATCAAACTCTCTTCCTGGCTCTCTGCCCCTCTTTGCTAATTCTTTAGTATTTGGTGATGAGCCATTTGGGATCCAAGCCTGAACACCTTGTCCAGCTTTGTCATCTGCACACATGCTAACCACCAACAGTGCTAAGCTGCCATGATCCTGGTAGAGGAGTGTCTGTGCTCTACCAGAAATAGGTATATGTTCTATAAGCTACACCTGAGGAAAGGGGATAAAGAAAGGTTTTCTGTCATCTAGAAACCCCAGTCATGGCCATGGATGTAATGGTTGGAAGGCACAAAGGTCACAGAACTCCCTGGAACAATGAGATGTTAGTTTTGCTTCTGGTTTAGGTTAGCACATGTGTCTACTTGCTCCTTGGGGATGTAGGGGTGCTCCTTCCTTTGAGGGCAATCTTGTTCAGGTAAGGAGGGAAGAATAATTCAGGAGGGCTGAAGAAGTTCTAACAGGAGAACCCTGAGGACCCTGAGGGAAAGAGAAGGGACCTGCAGACTACGAGAACCATTGTCAACAGCCTCTGGGGAAGCAGGTACTGAGCACAGGAGGCCTGCCACAGGAAGAACAGTCACAAAGTGCTTGCGTTTGTCACTGTGGTCTCATCTCCTTCTTGAGAGCAGGTGTCTAAGCTCCACCCCTGGAGAGAGTAAGTCACGTTCAAGGCCACTCAGTCCCCAGGGGAACCCAGGTATGACTCCAACACCCATCCACTGGCTCTCTAAAACCCTCAAGATCTTATAATAGCTTACCTAGAGTTAGACTATAAACCTTGGGCAGAGTCTAACTTCCTACAGAAAGACCCTGAATGTAGAGGGAGTGCACACAGCTGACCAGCAGAGACAACCTGAAATCTGCTCAGGCTGAGGCACACGCTCACTGAGAAGACTGTGAGCACAGTTAAGTTCACAGAAATTAATGTATTTGGGTGGGAAAGGTTTCCCACACATGATAGCCACAGCGCATGGAAGGGACCAAACAATGCCAGACTGAGAGGCTGGCACAGCTCCAGCGCTCCTCCAGGACGTTGTTATTGTCTCAGAGTCAGCTCTGGGAAGTGACAAGCACGGTGACAGCTAAAATAAGGATCTGCATGCCACATACAGAAAAAAGAAAAAAGAGGCTTAGGGATCAAAATTGACTTCTGTGCAAAGCAGGGTGATCAGAAGGCTGAGTGGCCTGCGGGGTCTACCCTGAGGAAACACAGGAGCTGCCTTCCACATCCCAGGATGCCGGGGTAGAAAGGAGGCAACAACGTATTCCTGTCTCTCCGCAACTTAGAGCTAGCCCCCAACTCCAAATCACCTAAGAAAAACTGTACTGACAGTGACTGGAGAAAGCCCGGTGAATGGGAAAGCCAGCTGAATGAATAGGGAAAGCCAGCTGAATGAATAGGGAAAGCCTGCTGAAGGGGCCTCTACTCCAGGCTGACTGGCTCTGAGGCACCTGAGCAGCCTGCTGAGACCTGCTGGTGCTAACCTCCTGCTACAGTGGACATTAAAGCGCTCACTCGCCACCAACCGCCATCCACAGCCACGCACCTCTCCTTATTACTCTCTGAAATGCTTCAGTTTACTTGAGAGCAAACTCGACTTCTCCTTAATGATTTTCAAAAGCCAGCCCAATGAGACAAGACCACAACTCTGCCCTAGACTCTGCCCTAGACTCTGCACTGTACTAGAGTACAATGTACTGTCTTAAGATGCCCTAAGAAGGTTATGATATTGCCATTTCCCAAAAGAAGCCCCAAGTAGCCAACCTGCTCCTAGAAAGAAGATACAGAGTTCATCCAACTGATGATTTAAAAAAACCCGTCACCTCCCTTCACTCAGGGAGCAATAATTAGGGTCTCTGTTACGGCAAAGGGGTGTTTGTACAGGAGGGACCTGTACCAGGCTCACAGCCTTGTGAGTCCTTGGCACTCAGATGCCTCCCAGTAAGCTGTGGGTAAGGAGGTGGCCATGAAAAGTACAAGGTGTATCACACTTTGCCAGGTCTCAGGTCATTGGGCAAAGGTAAAACCCAACTCACCGTTCGATCCAGTAGAGAGAGCTGTGAGAAGACAAAGCAAACAGCACGAGTTAGCTCGGTGGTTAAACTGGGCAGTAAACAAGCAAACTGAGCGCTTGACAGGAGCCAATGTCGTTTCCTGCTAGTCACCTGCCCATCCTTATCCAAGATAAACACCCAAATGCTAAGGACAAGCAGAACTAACCCCATCTTTCTTTCTGAAATAAGTTATTGATTCACTAACAAAATTTGCTTACATTTACACTTCAGTTTTAATTGTTGCAAGCAACCAGGCCACCTGTATTCCTTCTTTCCTTCCTCCTTTCTTTTCCCCATTTTTGGCAACTGTTCAGAAACACAGCCTCTGAGAAGTGGCAGGTATTGTCTACTGTCTCCAATTAAAAGGCTTCATTACCTAGATGTTTCATTACCTAGATTAAATGAAATTTAATAGTTTTGTTACAGCCAGTAGCCCATTAGTGGCAATGTGGAGTTTCAACCCTGAAGGACCAGAGTTAACTTGCTCACCCTGTAACCTTTATTTCCCAAAGCTAGAAAGTATAGAGGCTGATACAGTAACTATAATCTATGTGCTGGAAGATCATTACGGAAGAGACCCCAGCATTTGTGAAATGGATAGTAACATGACTTTCTGATACACAACCAAATGCCTGAAAGCAATATGCTGTTTACACCAACTTCCAGTAATTCAGTAAACGGATGCTTATTTATGGAAACATTTTTCCATTTTAAAGCTTAAGATTCAGAAACTGACCCACACACTCTTCATATAACAACATACCTGAAAGTTTGGGCTGTGTCTTCTTCTTTTTGCTGGAAACTTTTAAGAACTCATCAATAAGCAAGTCATTGGCACAGGCTCTCTTGTCAGGGTCTGGTTCGAAACACTTTAGTATGAACGCTTTGGCCTCAGCTGACATGGACTCTGGAATCTCCGGGTGGACCTTAAACATCCCCACCTGAAGCAAAATCAGAAGCATGCTGAGTCTCCTAAAGCTCTCTCCCTCTCATCGCCTCACCTTGCCCCCTTTTCTTTCTCTCCTCTCAGTGGTTCCCTAGGCTTCCTGCATCAGGTGCCCTGACACCGGCGTTGTATTGCAGCCTGCCTGTGGCACTTCTCCAGGTGATCTGAGAGGTACTTTCTGCAGATTACAGGAAACTCACTTCTTTTGTAGCTTCAGCAATGATGCAGGAAGCGTAACTAGCTGAGGACATACATGGTACAGGGTAATAAGACTTTCCTTCAAAACCTGAGAACACTTTAATATACACTGCACTCAAAAAAAGATACTTTGTTGAGATAACTGAGCTGCTCAGAATAGCTATATGGCAGGCACTGGGCCAGAGTTTCCCATTTATGGACGTCACAGACTCCTCTCAGCAACTTGGTGAATTAAATATCGTCTCTCTTATTCCCACAAGAAAAATAAGGCTTCAGAGAGAAGCATCTTGCTTTGTTTTGTTTAAAGCCCGTGTGTTCTTTCCCCTATTGCATAATTCCTAAGCACTCCCCCATCTCAAATCACCAACATTAAGAAATATTTAAGAGCGCTTTGAAATTAAAGCATATTTTATACCACAGTTAGAATCTGCTTCTATTGGTATTCCAAAGGCAGAGGCAGTGAGATGACTCATTCAAAAGCACTTGACAACCGACCCTGAGAACCTGATGTTTGGTCCCTGGGACACAAGGTGAAAGAAACAAGTTGTCCTCTGTTTTTCACATGCATGACAGTGAGTGTGCATACACACACGCTTTTATATGCACTGTACAACTCAATGATGTTTGCATGTATTTTGCTATATACAAATGTATCCTAATAAATAATAATATATTTGTAAGAACTATATACCCTTTATGTTGAAAATAATTCTAGATGCATTGCATAGATTATCTCTCATATTCCTCAAAAAATTCCTGTGAGAGGAACTCCTTTTCTCCTCATTCTGTGCCTACCGATAAGGAGTTTCAATAAGTTGCCCAACGTTCCAAATATCCGGAGCCTGTATCAGAACACGGTCAATCATGCTGTATGGTCTAGCCTGAGACTTCCCATGAACAGTGGAGGCTGCCTTCCAGGGCTGAAGGTGTGCTGACCTGTTAACTGATAATTACTGCGTCATGGATAATGAAACAGCGTTTCACAGGGAAGCTGTAGAGAATGGAGAAATGGAGGGGGGCAGGAGGGGAAGTATCCTGCCCCTCATTGTCTCATTGCTTATGCAGGCTCGGTCAGAATTCTAGATTTTGGATTTTTGTTTTTGCAAAAGTGCAAGTGGTAGAGCTTAGAGCTAGAACGTCCTATGTGTATTCTTCATTTTCATATCAGCTTTTCAACAAGTGTAAAGTAGATCACACTTGGTACAAATGTGGACAGTACGTAAGTATCACAGGACCCCTGGCAAGAAGCTGTCTGCCGAGGAGTGAGGGCTGAGGAACAGGCTGAGGCTAAGAGCTACACTCAGCAGTCCCTGCTTTACAGAGCAGGGACGGGAGCTTCCTGGGAGACAGGCAGCTTGGCTGGGAGGACTGTAGGGTCACCACCTTGTCCAGACCTCTGCTGTCTAAATCTCAGGCCTATATATTTCTGTATTATTGCTCTCTACACTGGGGTGGGGTAGGGGTGTGTTCGCACTTCCCAGAATTACTTATGGGAAAACAGTCTGAAAGAACAGACCTAAGTAAATAAAGTTGGATTACTTAAGATGGTAACTCTACCCTTTATAAGAATGGATTCTTTAAACATTTGCAGCCAAGAAATGAGGAAAATAATTTGATTTAATCTTTATGTAGATTTAAATGCTGTGTTGTGAATTCTGTGTGTTTGTATGTGTGTGTATGTATGTATGTACATACGTATGTACGTGTGTGTGCAAGTATGTGTGCTGGGGTGCTATAAATGGACCAGGGATGCTAGACTAGTGCTTCACCACTGTGACGGATCCCCAGCTCCTCAGAATGTTCTTATAATTTTCTTATATGGAAAACATCCACACAGTTTCCCAGAGTTTAGAGTCCTGTGTCATTCATACTGTAAAAAGCTTACATGGAACTTCAGTTTAGAATGAAGAAGACTAAGGTTGAGATGCTGGTGCGGACTGCAGAGGGGAGAGAGGATCTCCTCGGTCTTGACTGTGACTCAACATGTGTTTCCTTGAGCTTCACTCCTAACTCAGACATTCATTCCTGCACACAACATCCATTAACTACATGAATCTTTCATCCTTTTGTGTTTAATATGACGTATGACCTTGAACATGGCTGCTTGTGGCTCTCCTAGTTCATAAAATGGTGGTTTTCCAGTAGCCATTTCGATGATTGTGCAGCCCAGTGACCAAATGTCGGCGGCCTTTCCATAGCCTCGTGGTCCTTTATCGATTATTTCTGGAGCCATATACTGAAGGGTACCTGGGAATAATGCAAATATACTTCCACATTAGAAAGGCAAAGAATGATACCTAATGATCACTTCAATTATTGAACATAAATACAACAATTAAGAACTTATGATTCAGGTCCTGATGTATCATCTTTTTCTGAGATCCAGCTTTCTCTGCAGTTAATAATAGTAGAAATATGAGTGTTCATAATGGATTTTATCACTGAGACAGTGATAAACCAGTTCATCAATAGCATCTGGTTATGGATGTTTTAAGGCTGATATGCCCCTTTGAGGGTTGTCTTAGAGACTTGACCATAGTTGGACTGTTTTTGTTATTGTTCAGAACAATAGAAAATACAATACATATTTCTGCATCAGTTCGTCCCAATATATGATGACTCCCTTTATGTGTACTTTTCCAGAGAAAATCTAGTTCATTCTCTGATCTCATTCAAGCTTTATAGTCCCTAGTTCCTGAACCTGGTATTTGACTCATATATTCCCATTTTGGAGATCACTATGGTAAATAAGCCTGGACAAAGGTGAGTCCCAGTGTCATCAAAGATGGGATCAGAACAGTGAGAAGCTGCAGGGTGTAAGGAAGTGAGAGGTGGGGAACAGTAGTCAGTCAGCACCATGTGACAGTCAGGAGAAAGCAGTCTACCCCACAGCAAAGACAGGAGGGAGCCATAATTAACAGTGTGCTCTGTGTTCAAAACAAACAAACACAACAACAAAAACCCAGGAAACTAGAAAGGGGACTCTGATGCTTTCAGACACATGCTTAGATGTTTGAGGGGACAGATGTGCTACATTAAACAATACATGCATGTATTCAGATATCACAGAGTACCCATTAGTTGTACAATTCTTCATGTCCAAGGGGGAAAGACCCATAAGGATAGAACTATGGCTCAGGGGCATAGGGCTTACCGAACATGCATGTGGGCCCTAACGCAGACTAAATTAACTAGCACTGGGATTCTGAGAGCTATGATGAAGAATAATTTAAAAACATCAGGTGTATGTGATTCTGTATATTAAATACATGCAAATTCTTACTGTGGATCTTAGTAAGACTTTAATGTAGCGGTTCTCAATCCCTGGGTCACGACCCTTCAAGGAGCTGAACGGTCCTTTCCTAGGGGTCACACACCAGACTCATAACAGTAGCCAAATTGCAGTTATGAAGTAGCACGTTATGGTGGGGGGGGGGGAGAGGTCACCACACTATGCAAGAGTGTGTTAAAGCGTCACTACTTTAAGAAGATTAAGAATAAACTGTTTAATGGATCAAAGACAGGTCATGAACCCCAATTAGAGGTAAACCATAAGAGTGGACATGAATAAACTGAGCAGGAGAAAGGAGGGGTTTGCAGAGCCAGGTGGTAGACAGGGTATGGTGTGGTGTAGAGGGGGAGTGGAGGGAGCCCTTGGGCCTAAGTCTGGTTCTGAGGAAATGAAGGAAAGTCTACGTTCCTGGTGCTCAGTGAAGAAGCAGGGTCTGAAAGGCACTGAGTTCCAAGGCAGGCCACACCTTGTCAGACATACAGGATTTGGTTTTATTTACTCTGCATGGAAGCCACTTTGACATTTTAGCTGCAATGTTGAGGGTGGACAGCAGGGGGCAGGAGTGGAAGCAGAGATGCTGTTCGAGGCAGCTGAGACAGAAGAGCTGTGGCACCTGAAGGGTGACAGCCCATCCCACTTCTGGACTGACATGCTTCCTCGATGGTTGGACTGTAGCGTGAGAAAAGGAGCCAGTGACAGCCAGCCAAAGTCTCGAGTGGCCCTCAGTGGAGCGAGAAGAGCGTGGGTGGGAAAGGTCTGAGGAGGAGGTAATTAATTCCACTTAACATGTTAAGTCTAGCTCAAACCTCAGATCTATTACTAAACAGTTTTGTGACCTTGGGCAAGTTATTTAAACTCTTTGAACCTTAATGTTCTCACTATAACCCAGGATAATGATACCTCATGATTAGAGCTTATGTACAAATGTCAGTGTGTATAATGCACTATGCATCCAAGCAAAATATGCAGTCAGAGCACTATAAACGGTGACTACCTCTGCCTCGCCCCTCACCCAAATCACCAGGAGCTGAAATCGAGCCAGGTCTTTCCACTACATTCACCAGAGGTGATGAAGCATCTTGACCCCCACACAGTCAGGACTACAAAGCCCACTGTGTTGAAAGGACCAAGGCCTGCACACCACGGCTCTTGGATCAGCATTAGAGAGAGATCTGAGCTCTGTAGTCATACACTATACCTGTCACCTTCATGTGTGGCCAGTGGGAGAGTTACAGGCACAGGGCCCCAGTGAGGACACCTTCCCTACAATGCCTTAGGGACTAAAGACAAAATTTCAAGATGAAAAGAAGACATTAAATCAACATCCTGCTCCAGAACATTGCAGAAGTAGGAATTATCATCTCCCAAGTTACTGAGTCTGGGCAACATCTGCTTGCCAAGCTGAGAGAGAAGGAGAAAGAAGCATAAACATGGGAGACACTAGTAGGTTTGAATTTATTTTAAAATACATTGTAAATATGGGCAATCCTGTGTCTGAAATACATTGTGTGCAGTGTAGGAGGTGGTGCAGACCAGAGGATCTGAGAGACACAAGGCTCTCTCCCTCCTCCTCCCCGCCTGAGGCCACCAGCACAGATGCAAACTGGAGAGGAAGATGCACTGAGGTCTGCAGGCCAATGACAAGAGCAACGGGAGAGAGGAAACCCTGCACTTCATCACAGACTGCCATGACCACCGGAGATGTCTCCTACCTCTTTCCACCAATGTCCCCATCTGCAAAATGGAGGCACTTCTGTCTACCACAGGGGATTCAGAAATGGGGACATCTGGCCATTTTGCTTTACATTAAATCAAAAATTAGTCACTGACTCCTTTTTTTTTTTTGTTTAAGTCAATCTCTAAATCTCTGACCCTGCCCTCCTCTCTAATAATAACAGAACCTAACGCTTCTGGAGAGTTAGCGTAAGAACATGGAGTAGAGACATTTTGCAGGCTCAGTATCTAATGGGCACTCATCCATCTGTTGGGCTCTATTTTCCACTTGGCTGTGTTCAACTTTTTGGAAATTGTTGTCTCCACCCTCCCAGGACTTTGCATCGGAGGCCACTGAGTCCCCGGATTGCCTAACTTCTCATCTCCACCTCTTCCGAGTGGATGACTCACTTCCTCTTTTCTGAATTGAAATCATAGTGTTATTTATATTGTGGAGTAGGGGAATTGATTCCTGGGAGAAAACAGACTAAGAAGGAGGGAAACTGGAGCCCAGATAGGAAACGGTTTGAGTATGAGTAAGAATCAGAGAGGCTGGGCTAGGGCATGTTTGTAAAGAGTAGTCAGACTTGTAAGGGTCAGCGTGGCTGTAAGCCAGTCAAGAAAAAAGGACAGAAAACAAAAAGCAAGCATGCTGAGAGTGGAAAGTAGCCTTCAGTGGTTACACATAGGCTGAGCCACACAGAACCCCAAGAAGACAGAAGGTCAAGGCAGACCCCGTACACAGCTTTCCAGGGAACATCAGGCAATCCTAGCATTAGTGTTCGTGAGAAACCTGACTTAGTTTATCTCTCACCTGATGTTGAGGCTCAGCAATTACATTTGTAATTATCCAAGATCTGTATCATTAGTGAAAAGTCTACCTGTAAAGGTTTCGGTGCATGGGTTTATGCCAGCAAGCCTCTTGGATGTCCCGAAGTCAGAGATCTTGAGCACACCACTGTAGGTATTAATCAATACATTGTCACCCTAGGGAAAGAATATTCCAATCAAAACGTTATCTTTTCACTGATGCTGTTTGTGGTTGACTTAAGCCTGATAAAAGTGCCCTTAGAACAAACAATGGCATTTAATAATAATAATGTGTCCTTCATTAACAGCTTATCTCAGGAGAGAACTCTTTTCAATACAGACCTCTTGATATAATTTTTATTTATATGTTATCAGTTGTTTATAATCTTCTCTTCAGGTCAGGAGTCAAACATGGCCCCGAGGGAAAGTTCACTACAGTTTACAGTTAGGCTGGATTACCTGTGGACAGTATCTATATAAACAACTTTCCTAACTTCCCACACACCTTATTTTCTTCTGTTGTTTCTCACTTTCCGTGGATTACTTAGGACATTTAACTTGGTTTTAGGGCTGTAAGCCATAGTAGGTGCATTAGAAACAAACACCTATGGTACACACAGAACACTGCTGCCGGTTTAAAAGCCCTTCAAAGCTTGGTATTTGTTCTGGCTAACACTCTTGGAGACGTGTTTAAGAGGAACCAGCCACACAATTGCTCCCTTTCTTCTAGGTAGCCCATAGTAACCTTTGCTCATTACCATTCTAAATTCTCAGTGCTGGAAGTACTATGCTCACCACTTATCCCTTTTGACTGTGTGATCTCTGCCCTTAAAGTGAACACAGGACGAACACGCACGTGCTCAGGCATGTGCACCTTCCAATATCAATATGGGTGTGCATGGCCAGGCTCCACTAGAGGAGTATACACCTCAAAGTAAAAAACCTCTGCTTGCTTGTACTAAATAGTGAAATGCCCTTCTCTTTTTATCTCTTAGTTGCACTTTTTGGCTTTGTAGTCACCAAAAGGTGAACGAATTTTGTTTGTTTACAAAAGGAGCATACTTTAAGAAAGCCAGGCTCTGTCCAAACTTCATTAGTTTTTGCTAGTAGAAAACCTAGGCAGTACCTTGCAAGATATAGGGACAGAAACAGATTTTCCTGAACAGGACTTCATTTGCCAAGGAATTAAGCCCAACAATCAACAAGTGAGACTTTATAAACTAAAAAGCTAAGAAACACAGCTAAGAAACAATCAAGTCAGGAGGTAGGCCATAGATTAGGAAGGAATCTTTGCCAGCTATACATCTAATAGAGGATTAATATGCAGAATATATAAAGAACTAAAAAATCAGAAAGTCAAAAAACCCCAAAGGATCAATTCATAAATGGGCTTGGGATTTGAATAAAGTTCTCCAAAGAAGAAATAAAAATGACTAAGAAATAGCTCAAAAAAATTATCCCTTGTCCCTAGTGATTAGGGACATATAAACTGAAGTAACTTTCAGATTTCATCTTACCCCAGTCAGAATGGCAAAAATCAACAAAACAATCAATAGCAAATGTTGGAGCCCTCACTCACTGTTGGTGGGATTGCAAACTGGTGTGGAGAATCCTCAGAAAGCTAAGTCTACCACCTGACAAAGCTATATCGGTCCTCGGTGTACGCCCAGAGGACTTGAATCCTACCCCACAGATCCATGTTCAGCCATGATTGTTGCTGCTCTAGTCACAATAGCTGGGAAATGAGACAGCCTAAATGTCCTTCAAATGACACATGGACAATGAAAATATGGTTCATATACATCATGGAATACTACTCAGCTGTAAAGGAAAATGAAATCACGAACTCTTCAGGTAGGTGGAAGGAACTAGAAAAGATCACATTGAGTGAGATGACCCAAACCCAGAAAGACAAATGTCCCATGATCTTCCTCATCTGTAGTCCTAGGTCCAAGTCTTCAGACATGAGAACAGAAACTAGTCTAACCACAGAAACCAGAAGGTAAAAGGAACCACAGAGCATGGCGGGGATCAATGGGGGAAATATCTGGGTGCCACTGACATCTAGGGGGAAAAACAGGGGGCACATTTTTTGGAGACAGTGTTTCTTTGTGTACCCCTGGCTGTTCTGGTAATTAAGGAGGTGGAGAGAAGTTAATAAAGCAGGAAAGAAGAGGGTAAAATAACAGAATGTCTGAAAAAGTCATAAGGAATCACAATTATTATCGAGTTATCAGAATTACATACAAGAGATGTAAACCTATATATACATGCATAATGCATACATACATATAACTATATATACATACATTTAATATGTATATAGAGATGAAATTTCCCATCTAGGCTGATAATGCTCTCCCCAAAAGCCATACACTAGCTAACAAAAGCCCAAACATCAGGCAAGAGAAGTACCCTTTTGAGCTGTGGGTCAGGGTTGTTGAAGAGACTCCCCATACATGGCTATTGCCACTGCCTTGGATGCCTCCCAGAAGCTGAACATCAGTCTCTATTGCTGAACATACCATATACTTTGGACTAGACATAAGGAATCCAAGCTGGTTCTGATTTTAGAGCCTCCTCCATGAGGCTGAGCTTTGGTTGTATCAGAAGAAGCCATGCAAGCGTCCAAGGAGAGACAGCAGCTAATAGTTACCCAGCTATAATGCCTATGAACCAGAACCAGTACTGCACAGTAGCCCTAAGAGTGCATAGTGGCAAGCATATTTACTGGTAACCAAGAGTTCTCTAATTGGATGTAAGGCCCATTCAACAAGAGGGAAATGATGCCTTGTACTAGAAACCCAGACAATTGCAAGGAACTATAAAGTCACAAACTTTGGAGGAGAACCACTATCTACCACTTTACTAAACTATCATGACTCCTAACTCTATTCCTAACATTTATCCTTATGTCCACAGAAAAGTGTAGTTCTCCTTTCTCATCAAAGCAACTTCTCCTTGCAATAGACAGAGACCACTAAAGAAACCTATAATAGATCAAAATGCAGAGAAGTGACAGTATTGTACCCAGGCCCAACAATACACCCACAACACAGCTCCTTCACCAGTGACCCAATGATACAACACAGCTCCTTCACCAATGACCCAATGATACAACACAGCTCCTTCACCAATGACCCAGTGATACAACACAGGTCCTTCACCAATGACCCAGTGATACAACACAGCTCCTTCACCAATGACCCAATGATACATCACAGCTCCTTCGCCAATGACCCAATGATACAACACAGCTCCTTCATCAATGACTCAATGATACAACACAGCTCCTTCACAATGACCCAATGATACAACACAGCTTCTTCACCAATGACCCAATGATACACCTACAACACAGCTCCTTCACCAGTGACCCAATGATACAACACAGCTCCTTCACCAATGACCCAATGATACATCACAGCTCCTTCACCAGTGACCCAATGATACAACACAGCTCCTTCACCAGTGACCCAATGATACAACACTGCTCCTTCACCAATGACCCAATGATACAACACAGCTCCTTCATCAATGATACATCTACAACATAATCCCTTCACCGAAGGGCCAACAATATACCTACAACACAACTCCTTCATCAAAGGCTCAAGGGTCATAGCAGAAGAGAGAGCAGAAAGATTTTAAGATCCAGAAAGTAACAGGAAGTTTGTTGTGAGGTTTTCTCTCCTAGAAATGTCAGAGAAGCCAGACAGTGGTGGCACATGCCTTTAATCCCAGCACTTGGGAGGCAGAGGCAGGTGGATTTCTGAGTTCGAGGCCAGCCTGGTCTACAGAGTGAGTTCCAGGGCAGCCCAGGCTATATAAGAGAAACCCTGTCTCGAAAAACCAAAAAAGAAAGAAAAAGAAATGTCAGAGAAGCTACACCCAGGAAGTCTCATCAACATGGCTGCTTAAACAAGACCCAGAGATGGATGACACCAATAGACACACTACCATGGAAGATGAAATCTTATGGGGCATCAACGCTAGACAAAGAACTAAAGGCAACTAAGGAATGCTGAGAGCAGGAGAAATAGAAATCTTCCCCAGGGAGGAGCCTCCAAATTGATTATCCAATCCTAAGAGGTCACCCTGAAACCGAGCTAACACTACACACTGAGCAGATTGTATTTACATATTTAGGGATATATAGCTCAACAATTAAAGAAATGGAGGCCATGAATTTGAATGCAATGGAGGGTGGAGGGGAAGGGTGGGTGAGAAAAGTAGAGGGAGAGACAGAGAGAGACAGAGAGAGACACTCAGACAAGGAGAAATAGGAGGGAAATGATGTAATTGTATTTTAATTTCAAAAAGCCAAGGTTTAATAGTTTTGAATTTCCTTTTTCAAGAGAAGCTGATGCTTTTATTTTAGGAATTTGTATAAGGATTAATAGGCCATGTCCTGTTCCATCTGGGCATACTAAAGTCTACCCTACAGAGGTCCTAGAAAACCTCACAGACGGGCAGTGAAGTCTACTGTCTTCAGTTGGTAAGGCAGCTCTGCTGTACGGAAGACGACGACGGCATGAACATAACTGCACACAGTGGACAAGAATGGCTCCCATTTCCTCACTCCCCATTCACAGTGAACACTCAGAACGTAACCTAACGGTTTCAGATAAAGTAACTCCCCAGGGAGAACCCCAGGAGGATGAGTCATGCTGCACCCTACCTTTATATCCCGGTGGACTATCTGATTGTCATGAAGGTACTTTAATCCTTCCAATATCTGTTTTGTATAGAAGCCAATTGTTTGCTCATTGTCCTTTAATGGGCCCCATTTTGAACGAAGGAGAGCAGAGAGGCTTCCTGTAAGAGAAGAGAAACAGTGAGTAAAACCCATCCATGCTCCTTAAAGTGTATACATAACGTGACATCAAATTAAGCCAGAATGCACTGGCTCTTCACAGTAGGCCAGACTCTACTGGTTACCTGGACTCAAATAAGAATATGAAAATATCCTGAGCCGGGCGGTGGTGGTGCACGCCTTTAATCCCAGCACTTCAGAGGCAGAGGCAGAGGCAGGTGGATTTCTGAGTTCAAGGCTAGCCTGGTCTACAGAGTGAGTTCCAGGACAGCCAGGGCTATACAGAGAAACCCTGTCTCAAAAAACAAACCAAACAAACAAACAAAAAAAGAGACTATCCCTATTCTGAAGGCAATCATTATCAACAGTCTAAATAACAGGATGCTCGGATGCTAGCTTTAATCCAAGCCACAGTGACTGAAAGTAAAATGGTTTCAAAATGTCTGTCTTGCCTGCTGAGAAACATCAAGGTCATGCCACCAATCTGACCGTTGTCTCAACACAGATAAATCAAGATCTGGACCCTAACAAATTCCATGCAATCTAGCTCTTCTTCAGGGCTTAGAAATTCACAGTTCTGAAAGTAAGAAACATCTTACCTCCCGGGACTTGCTCCATGAAGATTTTGATGAAACCATTCTCACTGAAGGAGCCCAGATACTGGACAATGTTTTTGTGTTTCAGATGCTTGTGCAAGGCAATTTCTTCATGCAGGGGCTGAGAGTATCTGGAAGACACGCAAATGACAGTATGCTAGGTATCAGCCACACTTTAGAGCATTAACTTAAGCAGTGCACACTGCAAATACCAGGTAATCTGTGCCCACAAATAAAAATCAATGACTCTGTAAGCCCTTTGTTTCTCATAAATTCTGTGACACTGCAGCTCATCAGGACCAGGGGAAAGGAGCTGGGTATTGTTCAAAGCTCCTTGCATAGATCAACTCATTTCTTTTAACTAAATGTACTACTAGGGATACCCATTTTACAGACAAGGGAAGTGATTAATAGAATGAAAACCCAAGATTACAACACAACTGACAGACTTAAAACTTGACCTAGGACATCAGATACTATTCACAGCACTGTCCGTATTAGCTGGCAGCCTGCTCCACTGGCATCTTCATCATAAGCACTATGCCGGGGGCTCTTGTTCAGAAAGGCAAATAGTCCCAATATCTTAACAATGTTCATCCACAACTTCCCAACAGTTCATCAACTCTTTAGTAGGAATTGCAAAGCCTTTCATGTTCCAGTTTCTTTCCATCCACTCATTCAAACCCCTCACCTTCTGAATCAACAAAATCTAACAAATAATGATTTTCACTTTATCTAAACAAACCTCTACACTGAAAGGCCAGCTGCACACCAGAGTTCAAAATCATGTGCTCAGTGTATGCAACTAACAAATCGTCAAAGTGCTTTATTTCTGAACTAGCACAGCGCTTCTGCTCATTAAATGAGGTCTTGTAAACCTTATCCTCTGAAGAACAGCAAGATCAGTGAGCACTTAGGCATATATTGCATAGCTTGTCAAATAATAAAATTTCAACAAATCAACTTTTAATGATTCAATTGGCTTCCATTGGCAATTCATGACAGTGTCTGGTTCAAACAGACAGGATTCAGGACAGGACAGAACAGCTCAGGCTTAATGTAGTTTAAGCAGGAATGAGAAAACAACATGGTCCAAAAAGCAACTGGCCGGCTTCAGGTATGATTCTTGCATGTACTGAGGTAGGGATTTGCTTATTCTTATGGCTTAGAATGGGTGGGCTTCTTTGGATGCTATAAATCTTGATTTACAGAAAGGTCAGACCATATAAACAAACAGATTAAGTGTAGGTGACATCAAACCTGAACATGAATGAATCCATTTTGGATTGATCTGTTGCAATCTACAGTGGGCAGTTCAAATCAGCATTCTTCTATAAGCAATATTTAATAAGCTAAATATGCTGAGTGCCAGCAACTATACCTAATGATTTAATGCTATCCCTTAACACACACACACACACACACACACACACACCCCTCTCTCTCTCTCTCTCTCTCTCTCTCTCTCTCTCACTCTTTCTCTCTCTCTCTCTCTGACACACACACACACACACACACACACACACACAAAGGCTATAGGTATAAAAGGCTCTAACTACACTAAGACATGTTAAATAAAAACTTGACCTCCCAGTCTTGCTTCAGACATACGCTTAAGGAATGATGTTCAGATATCCCAATGACAAATCCAGATGGAAGCTTTTTAGAAGGACAGTAACAAAGAGTAAAATTCAGTGTTAAATAATAGTGTCTTCATGAAGCAGTGCAGGGTGAGTTCTAGCACAAGCACTTACTTAATGAAGATCAAAATTCACTTAATTGAGATAAACTTTAATAATCTGTATTAATACTCCTCAGAAAGCTGTCAAGAAAAAAAACAAAAAACAAAGAAACGCCCCTATGTCTCTATGTCTCAGCCATATTTATTTACTCTTTAGACCTGCTATAGGAACTAAAGGGCAGGCATTAAGGTGATCCTTTAATAGTTTATCAGTGAGAGACACAAGAGCATTTTGATATGGTATGAGTTGACACAAGAACTACTAATGTACATTAGTACCGACAAGACCCTTAGGTAATGACTGACGCTCAGCTGTGAAGACAGAGTTACTCTGGAGAGATGGAAGACACTTTGAGACTAGTTCATGACTGCCCTAGATATATACTCGTGGCACACACTGTCTCTGAGCTATAGATTTAGAAGATTAAGATCATCAACCTGATATAAGCAACTAACTCACTTTATCACCAAGCAAAGGAAGGCATCCTACCTTCTGACTCTCCATTGAAAATCAAATCATAAATGTCTATATGTAAGATTAAGAGACACACACATCCAAATCTCATTATTTAAACCAAAGCTAGTTCAGAATTTATATCTTGAGTAGATATGATTCTAATCAAGAGTCCAGCCGAGCGAGGGGTAAATGTTCCTCTCCAGTGTGGAAAAGGTTATCGACACCAGACAGTTTTCACCAGTGTAAGAGCCAAGATCTAAGTGGGCATGAAGTAATGACTTATCAGGTCAAGAAAGTGGGCTACACTAGGAAAATTGCAAGAAAATGGAATTTTTTTTACTAGGTATAAAAATAGAAGAAATGGTAGCATTTGAGATACTTCATATACTTAGCTTGGAAAAAACTACTTGTCTGTAAGTCTCTTCAGGCTCAACCTCCGCTGTTAATCATCTAGGCTAGTATTTTCCAGCATTTGTTTTGAGAAGGGGGTCTCAATACATGCCCAGCTAGTTGGCCTATTATGTATGGATAGAATAATTGTTTCTTCAGATATTCCTCTGTCTCTCTCCTCTTTTGTCTCTAGTGACCCATTAAGTATATCTATTTTGTAGCTGTCACACAGTTCTTAGATTTTTTTCTATCTTCGACTTCTTTTTAGTCCCCCATCCCCACACCCCTTTTCAACTTTGGAAGCTCCTCCGAACATGTCGACTACACTCCATGTGCCGTGCTAGGGAAGCGTCTCAGCTATGTATGGGAAGCTGTGACGACACTTCCAACCTCTAACGGTTTCTTTACCTTCTTCCCTAGGATTCCTACCTCAGAGCCACTCACCCATGTCTACTCTGTCAGTTAGAAGACTCAGCATCATAAATCCCCGGTCTGCTCCTTTCAACTTGCCAAGTCTGGCTCTGGTTCTGATGCTGTTAATGCTCTTCAATGTTTCTGCCTTCTAGCAAGCCTTATTTTTTGAAAGGTACATGTGATATTCTGGGCAGGAGAATCAGAGTGAACAGGCCTTTCCTGTGGGTAGTGCTGGGCTATGGTAAGTAGGGGTGAGAATGCTCTCTAGTCTTGTGTCCCTGTCACTGAGGCTGCTGGGCACTTCTGACGTGCTTCCTAGTCTTCCACTTCAGTGAGATCGGGTGCTGGACTGGATTCTTCTTCGTTCTTTCACCTCATGAGAGGTCAGGCTCTCTGAGAACAGGCCTTGATAGAGAGAACTAAATCCTCTGACATATTTTAAAGTGTCTCCTCTCCCTGCTACAAACACAATGGGATTTTTCTCTTATATTTATAGTGAAGGTGTGGTAGAACTTTACAAAGTAAAACTCACACAAGTGTGGGGCTGCTCATGAGTGGGTCCCCGGGAATTCTTCATCCCCTAGACTCCTCCCTCCACCCGGTGCCTCCAGCACTCTGCTAGCCAGAGTTCAGGTTCTCTAGCCCACACTTGTTCCCATGGTGGCCTCTGCTCCAGTCAGTTATGATTGTCTGCATTTGCCGTTCTCTTTCCAGTTCAGGGACCAGTCTCCCATCTTCCCTGATGGAGTCAAAAGGACCGCTGGCTTCTTGATGTGTTCAGTGATCTTCTTGCTGGAGGAGCAAGTGTTGCATCTCCTTACACAGCAGCCTGGAAAGCATGACTGCTTCTCCACCTCTCTGTTACAAACCAACTACCAGTAAGACCCAGCTGCAACACACACACACACACACACACACACACACACACACGGTCATTTTCCCTTCAGCTCTTTGGAAGCCATTGTTTTCCCATTGAGTCTTGTACCAATTACTAAATGAACAGACAAAACTGAGTTGGAATTAACACGACAGCTTCCAGACAGTTCTAACAATCAGACTATCACCAAGTATTTTCTGCCACAGGGTTAAGAAGTCAAGCACGTTAGAATATAGCTTTTATTAGCAAGAGTTAGCATACCTGCTGTCTCTCTCTGGGATTTCCTTAATAGCAATTCTGACCTGGTTGCTCAGGTCCCGGCCTGCGTAGACTATCCCGTAGGTACCCTTTCCTAACACGACTCTGTCTCCATTTTCATCATATTCGTAGTCGTACTGTAGAGGGGGGAGGGACAAGACAGACGATCAAGACATTAGTTGAAAGTGACATTTAAAATACCAGTTTTTAAAATTTGTTTGCTTTAGGCAGGGTCTTATAGCCCAAGTTGACCCTGATTTTACCTTCCTCCTGCCTCTACTTCCCAAGTGCTGGGATTTCTGGTACTACCAAGCAAATATTATTAGGTCTTTTCACAAACATTTTCCTTATTTTAACAATGGCTTTACAAATGAAATAGTAAGATGGGCTTCTTAGGTGATCAAGAATAAGAAATTATTATATATAATATATTATTATAAATATATTATATATTTATATTATATAATACATTATATGTGCATTTATGTGTGTGTGTGTGTGTGAAAGAGAGAGAGAGAGAGAGAGAGAGAGAGAGAGAGAGAGAGAGAGAGAATGGAAAGCAGAAGGAAGAACCACTAGTGGAGAGGGAGGGAACCAGTATGTGGGAAGATGGGAAATGAAGTTATCCATAAACAAAGTATAATAATCTACATAGATGAAAATACCCCAAGGAAGTCCATTATTTTGCATGCTAATTAAAAATTAATAAACAAAATAGGAAAAGCTCCAAAATTAGTTTTAAAAGATTAAAATCCGCCGGGCAGTGGTGGCGCACGCCTTTAATCCCAGCACTTGGGAGGCAGAGGCAGGCGGATTTCTGAGTTTGAGGCCAGCCTGGTCTACAGAGTGAGTTCCAGGACAGCGAGGGCTACACAGAGAAACCCTGTCTCAAAAAACCAAAAAACAAAACAAAACAACAACAATAAAACCAAAGATTAAAATCCATGAACAGTCATCTTCATTACACACCAGTATTTCATGTTAAATTTTCTAGCTTTTAGGTGCAAGAAATCATTTCCTTTACAACTAAATATATTATCATATATTATACATTATGTATTATATATATTATATATTGTATTATAAATTTATATATTATTTAAACAACTCCTTTGAGAATAAAAAAAAGACACTGCCCACACAAGGCAGGTGGCGTGTTCTTGTTTGGTAGTGCATGTGGCAAATATGAGCTTTGCAGTTAGGGGTGTGAAGGTGCTTCCAGGAAGCCTCGCAGTCCTTCCCCCCAACCCCGTCCCGATTTTCACCATCAACCTGGTAGACATCTGTCTCTTCTGCCACCTCTAGCTAAGTTCCCCTCTGTTTCTCAACGTGTGCTCCTGAAGTACTTCCCAGGCTGCCAGGACAATAAAACCAATGACAGAGCTCGAGGGGGAGCAAAGGTGGAGGTCTGAGTAGGTGATGGATAAAGAAGGATCATTTATATTTTACCCTCAGTCTTACATGATGAGGTTTTTGTGGATCAAGATGAGAGAATTTGCAAGGAAGAGAGAAGCACTCTCAGGAATGGCTACAGACCTGAGATAGAAGTAATACTCAAAAGTCCCCAAGGGATCCTTAAAATAAAAAAAGAGAGGACATTTTTGATCTTTTATGTAAAAAGGAAACATTTATAGTCCAGAGCCTACAAGGGTCAAGGATTTGGTCAGAACTGCATCAAAGTCAATGGGGGACAGAGAACACTTCATAGAAGCCACCTCAGACTGGAGGCGGCACATCAAAAGTCCAGCACACAGGATGAGGAGACTCAAGCCCTAGACAGGAACGGCAGGATTTATGACCTTCTGATGATCGAGTTGTGTCCCGGAAGAAGCCAGAGAATGGGTGTAGACAGGAGAGACCCTGAGGACAACGGCTGCCCCCAACCCTGCACTACCTACAGCTGTCTGGGGTGCAGATTTGCAACAGATTTGCCTCAGAGAATGATCTCTGCTGTTTTCTTTGCAAAGGAAATGATTTCTTACACCTAAAAGCCAGAGAATTTAACATTAAATGCTGATGTGTCATTTGATGATGTGAGGATGACTGTGTTCATAGATTTTTATGTTTGTTAAGAAAATGACGTTGAAATACAACATACTAGATAGATTTACAAATCGGGTTTTCATAGAACTTTAAAAAATGCATATAACAGATTTTTTTTTTTCTTGAGACAGAGTCTTGCTGTGTAGCTCACACTAGCCTCGGCCTCAGTTCCTCTCCTTCCACTTCTTGCCTGTTGGGATAGAGTACAGGCATGTATAGCCACACCTGGTGAATTGTAGCAAATTCAAAGAAACTCTAATGACTCAGAAACTGAAAAATGTGCACATAAAGATATAAGCTGAGAAAGTTTTAAAACAAGAAAGAGTAAAACAGACTATAAATATTTGCCAACAACCAAACGCAACTTCCAGAAACTGAGCTCTAAGTAGGAGATAAGAATAAATTCATACTCAGACATGAAACAGGGAAACGGTAAGATACCAAACAGAACACCAAGAAAGATAAGAAAAGGTTATAAAAAGGAACGCGAAGCCAGCAGGGTGATAGGATGATCTAGTGAGCAAGGGCAGTCACCACGGTGGGAGCCCAAAGGACCTGCGTTCAGTCTCACATGGTGGAAGGAGAGAAAGGCGCTGATCTCCACTCGTGTGCGCTTGCTTGTGTCCTTGGACACGCACCCTGTGCTGGCTAGTTTTATGTCATCTGAGAGGAGGGAACCTCAATTAAGAAAATGCTACCATCAGATCAGGCTGTAGGCAAGCTGGCACGGTATTTTCTTAATTAGTGGTTGATGGGGGAGTGTCCAGCCCATTGTGGGTGGGGTCATCACTGCACTGGTGGTCCTGGGTTCTACAAGAAAACAGGCTGAGCAAGCCTTGATGAGCAAGCCAGTAAGCAGCACCCCTCCAAGTTCCAGCTCTGATTCAGTTCCTGTTCTGACTTCCTTCAGCGATAGACAATGATTTGAAAGTGTAAGCCAAATAAACCCTGTCCTCCACAATCTGTTTTGGTCATGGTAATTTATCCCAGCAATAGCAACTCTAACCAAAATAAATAAATGTTGAAAGGAAGCAGGGTGTGCACTTCTCCAATCTTAAGCTTGGGTGGTAAACCAGAGGTTCGAGGTCATGCTCAGAAACATAAGGGTGCTAGAGTCATCCCAAGCTACAAGAGATCTTGTCTCAAATACATGAATAAATAGTAAAAGCAAAGATAAAAAGGACAAGCCAACAACACCGGATGGTAATTAAACTCTGGTGGCCCTTCCGACTATGCTGGCCTCAGCTCCAAGCTTCGAAGCCCTTGTTGAAGGAACTTGGGTCATTATCTCTTGGACAAAACACTTTGTTAGAGTAGGGTATGCAGGACTCTATCTTGGACCCCTCTCTCTTGGGACATAGGCCAAATTCTGGGAAGAAGATGTCTGTTCTCTTGATGGCAATCTTGAACATCCATTGTGGGTACCAGAGCTACATCAGTGACCCTTCCTATGCTAGAATGAACGCCTACTGTAGAGATGAAGGATGGCTCTTCTAACTCAGGGAATTCTGCTTGAGAGATGAGGACTGTGAGGGTGGGCGGGTCATGGAGAAGCAGCAGGGAGCGTCAAACAATACACCCAGACTTGGAACATGCAACAGGGATCTTGTAAAGACACAGTGAGACCAGCTCAACCATACCACCCAACGAGTCAAGTGGCCACACCCAACTCCTGTGCTCTAGAATCTGGGAATCCAGTGGTGTGCTGGCTAGAATCCCACCAACAAAGACCATTAACAAAGACGCTCAACTTTGCCAATATCCCTCTCATTTATTTACTTAGAGACAGGGTTTCCCTGTGTAGTCCTGACTGTCTTGGAACTCACTCTGTAGACCAAGCTGGTCTCAAACTCAGAAATCCGCTTGCCTCTACCTCCCAAGTGCTGGGATTAAAGGCGTGCGCCACCACTGCCTGGCCAATGTCCCTCTCAAAGAAACAAACCTACACACTAGACCGAGATTCACCAACACTTTACATTATTATAATACTTCAAAACTTAAAAATATCACCTTCCTCACTTGATCTCCAAACTCCTTGTAAGGAAAACATACAACCCCTATTAATCTACACATGATCAGAGACCTCTTTTTAATGAAAATGTCAGAGTTGTGTTTTAAAGCCAGATCTTCAGAATCAAGAGTTTGTGTTCTGTCTCATGTACGGTGCTTTGAATGAGAATGGCTCCCATCGGCTCATATGTTTGCATGGTTAGTCTCCAGTTGGCGAACTGTTTAGGAAGGGTTAGGAGGTATGGTCTTGCTGGAAGAGGAATGTTACTGGGGGTGGGCTTTAAGGTTTCAAAAGCCCACAGCAGGCCCAGTTTCTCTCTGCCTGTTGCCTGCAGATCATGATATAAATCTCTTAGCTACTGCTCTAACACCATGCCTGTCAGCTTCCTGCCATGATGATCGTGAACTAACCCTCTAAAACTGTACGCAAGCCCCCACTTAAATGCTTTCTTTTATAAGATTTGCCTTGGTCATGTTGTCTCTTTACAGCAACAGAGCAGTAACTAAGATACCATGCTATAGGGAACCCTGTCACAGATAGGTTATAAATGAGTATTGATTTTGTTTTCAACACCAGCGTCATGAGGATGTCCCAGCGGATTGTCTGTACCCACTGGACAGCCACACACCTCTTCAAGCACATGTCTGATAACCTTGCCTTTGCAGACTCCATTCGTTCCTTCCCTTATTCCCTCCATCAAATCCACTGACAGATACTATGGGGCTTCCTCTGTGCAGGCTCACATTGCCAGGGTTCATCTTCGTCCTCAGTGCTAATGCCTCTGGACAAGCCTTAGAGTCTCTACTAATGCTGGTCCCCTTCCCTCTTGTTGCTTTCTTCTCTAGTAAGTTTTCCCAAGGAAGATGACCCTCAACTTTGCAACATCCAAAATTCCAAAGTGACCTGTCATGTTAGGACCACCAACTCTACTCTCTCTGCTCCCGGTTGTGTTCAGGGTGAGGTGCAGACTCCTTGGCACAGCATGAATATCCTCCAGGCCTCCTCTGCCTATTTTCTCTCTTTTCTCGTCAGTCTCTTCCAGTGGGGACGACCTCAAAGCTGCTCTTCCCCCACACAAAATTC